TCTCACTCGCTTTCAAATCCCTTCACCCTCTGGCATCCACCTACCTCTCTGAGCTGCTTTCTCCCCACTCTACTTCCCGTTGCCTCCACCTCGACTGGCTCCGGCCCCCTGCTTGTCCCTCCGTTTCACTCATCGGTGACCAGGCTTTCAGCCACTACGCCCCAAAACTCTGGAACACTCTTCCTCTATCCCTCCCCCCTCGCCCCTTCCTTCTCCATCTTCATGTCGTGCCTGAAGACCTTCCTCTTCGACCATATCTACGGTCACCTCCCCCCCGCCCATCTCGGTGTCGTGCTCCTCCACTTTCAAGCGCTTTGGGACGCTGCCCTGGATGAGGGACGCTACATAAATGCAAGTTGTTATTTCAACAAAATTACGTTTATACGACGCCTTTCACGTCGGGAGGACAACCCAAGGAGCTGTAGTTAAGGATTTTCGCCCAAGCTGGGGTTTCGGATCAGGAGGGGTGGAGGGCAGGGAGTGTGAGGGTGGAAGGGTGATTTTGGTTAAGCTTGGACGCCTCTTAAGCCGGACAAAATGGCCAATACGTTCTGCTTAACAGTCTTCCACTGTGTGATAAAATCCACGTGTGTTAATCATCAGCTGTTGGCCTGAATCCCGTGATCCAGTTGACTGGCCACAGAGGCTCGATGGTGGAGCTGGGGTGCACGTCTAAGGGCTGGTACCCAGAACCGAAGGTGATGTGGCTGGACGGACACAAGGAGGAGTTGCGGAAACGAGAAGTGACGGAAAATAAGGTGGAGATGAAAAGGATGGAGTTTTATGAAGTGAACAGCAGTGCTGTGGTGATGCAGGACAGTCAAAACATATTCTCCTGTGTCATTCGCAACGATCTCCTGAATTCAATGAAAGGCGTCACCGTCCAGATATCAGGTCTGTTATAAATCCGTGTGCAGTTTTGGTCTCCTCATTTAAGGAAGGATGTACTTGCCTTGGAGGGGGTGCAACGTAGATTTACTCGGTTAGTACCAGGGATGAAGGGGATGAGTTACAAGGATAGGTTGACCAATTTGGGCCTATACTCTCTAGAATATAGAAGAATTAGAGGGGATCTTATAGAAACCTATAAGATCATCAAAGGCCATGATAGAGTAGAGAGTGGGAGATTGTTTCCCCAATTGGAGAGACTAAAACCAGGGGTCACAACCTTAAAATCAGAGGCAGCCCTTTTTCAATGAGTTGAGGAAGAACTTCTTCACTCAAAGGGCGGCGAATGTATGGAACTCACTACCCCAAAGGGCTGTTGACGCTCAGTCCTTGAACATATTCAAGACTGAGATAGATAGATTTCTTATTGCTGAAGGGATTAAGGGATATGGGGATAAGGCGGCGTCAGGTTATTAGCTGGAGTTAGATTAGAAGATCAGCCATGATTGAATGACGGGGCAGAGGCTCGAAGGGTTGAATGGCCTCCTCCTGCTCCTATATGTTATCTTATAAATCAATCCCTTTATTTTTAGCTGTAATCTCGCTGCAACTTCAGGCCCATTTGGCCAAGTTATTATCTCGCTTATCCTCCCGCCTCCCCCTCCCACATAATTCTCACAAGTGGAGTCCTGTAACCCAGTGGTTAGAGCACTCGCCTCGAAAGCGAGAGGACCTGGGTTCAATTCCCAGTCAGGGCGAAACCTAGGCAAGTTTCCTTCCTCCACACACACACACACGACTCTGTCGGCCTAGCAGGAGTTAGGAACCCGGTTGTTAGTCGATTGGCGGATCGCTTTACCGTAATAATCCCTCCAAAAAAAATCCCAAATACGGTCACTCGATCCACATCTCTGACGTAGCCCCGTTTGTGGGACGTTTCTGTGCGAAATTGGCTGCCGGGTTTGGCCCACAAAATACGCAGTCACTCCACTTGAAGCTGTGATACGCGCAATATCAAATGCAAAGATTATTACTGTATAATGTTATTCATCGCTCCCCTCCTCCCCTCTCTACAGGACAGTTCTTCCCCAGTGTCTGCGGCTGGCTCTCGGCATTCTGGGTTATTTTCGTGCTCTTCCTGTTAGTGATTCTGCTCGCGGTGTACTTGCTGTGGAGACTCAGAAAATTGGTCTCGGTTAACAAAGGTAAGTCTGGAGCTTGGGGATTTAGGCCAAGGTTCGAGCCCGACTGGAGAACTGGGGGCGAAATGGGGTTGGGGTGGTGCCAAGAGCGTCTCGAGCTCATAGTCTAGGCTGATGAGATGAGACGTGAAACCTCGCTCTCCATCTGTGCCCGTTCAGGCGGGTGTGGAGTCCTGTAGCGTAGTGGTTAGAGCGAGAATACCTTGGCAAGTTTCCACACTTCTGTCTACCTAGCAGTAACAACGACAGCAATTTGCATTTATATGGTGCCCTTCCCCGCCCGCGGTAGCTTCCCGGAGTGCTTGACAGTGACGGAGTCTGACCTCGAGGGAGGGAGGGAGGGAGGGAAGGAGGAAGGTGACCATAAGCTCGATCCAAAAAAGGAAGGTCTTTAGGCGGGGGGGCATTGAGGGAGAAAGTGGCTGAAGGCGGAGGAGGGGACGAGGGATGAATAGGAGCCGAGCGGAAGCAGTGGGTGGGGGAGTGGGGGTAAGTGGGCGCCCAGTTGTTAGTTGATTGGTGTTTTATACCCATGATTGACAGACACGTCTTGTTTTTCAGAGCTGAAAAAGAGACCTTCTGTAAACGGTAAGTTAAGATCACTCCCCCTCCCCTTTAATGTCAGGTCTCGGAAACCTCCAAGCAATCACCCATCTAGACCGTATCTTACCGTATCTCGCCATCTTCCTGGTGGGGGGAGGTAAGCGGGGTTTCCTGTGAGCCGAACTGGCTCTAGGGTGACACACTTGGCAAGGGAATGTCAGAATCCAGCCAGGCCAGGCCTCTGTGGAGGTCTCTAGTCTGGTTCCAGAGCCTGGAGGGTCCACAGTATTCCAGGGCACTCACTGCTGATGACACCACAGCCCGGCCTGGCTCATCGGCTCATCTGGAAGGGCCGACCAGTCAGGGAATCATCCCACTCAGCTCCTGTTAACCCTGCAAGCCGAAGCCCCAACAGGTCGGGTGGTCCTGGCTGGACGAGCAGCGGGAAAGGCTGGCCAGACAGCGATATCAGTTGGTTAGGCTCGAGCAGTTACCCCAACACACATGCTGGGCTTTCCCCACCCCCACCCCCCAAGCCTTGGCTCTCCAACCCGTGCCTAATACTCTCCGGAATTGGGTCAGAAGGATGCCTCCCTCCAGGGTCAGAGTGCGGATTCCGTTCCAACACTCTGTCGCTGGGATTTCCAGGTGTAGTGGGAAGCCTGGAACTTCTCAGCTTGGTTTGGAGACTCTTAAGCAACGGTGACGGGTTTCCGCGTGTGTCAGACACCCGACTGACCCCGAAATAAATAGCTGGTTAGACTCCAGCTCATTAACAGGCTCTGGGGTCCCCAAGCTGTGGTCACCTGTGGTTTAAGCTACTCCACTCTAGTGGGGAAACAAAAAGCACCCAACTTCGGTCTTCATAATTGCTAACAATATTTCTTTTGAATCTCTTTTGCCTCTATCAGAATATGAAGAGCTGCAGCGTAAACTGGGTGAGTAACCAAAGCAGCGCAAGGGATCTGAGGCACTGCCCCGTGCGAACAGCTCAATGTAAATGCAAGTTGTAATAATAATAATACTCCTTATCGCATTTTTTTCTGGACGGGATCTGAGCCATTGCTATGCTCCCGGTTCTATACAGATGGATAAAAACGTAAGTTCGGCCGGACGAACCGCCTCGTTGCAGCCGTGCTCTAACCTCTGTGCTACGGGACTCCCAACAAGTACTCGTTGTCCGTCCGAAAACGTCCAGCTTTAATTTCTGGCCAGAATCAAATCAAACGAGCGACGCAATGTGGTCCTTGGGACGTCCTCCCGACGTGAAAGGCGCTCTATAAGTGGAATCTTGTTGTTGTTGTTGTTGAAACCTGCGTGTTTTTAACTGGTTAGACTCCAGCAGTCATCACAACAACAACTTGCATTTATGCGGAGCGTCTCGGAGCACTTAACTGACGGAGCTTGACACCGAGTTGGGTTGAGAGGGGGGCGGGGAGGGGAGGGGAGATGGCCGTAATCATGGTCGAAGAGGAAGGTCTTCAGGTTTGATCTGAAGACCGGCAAGCAGGAGACGAGGCTGAGGGATTGAGGCAGGGATTGAGTTTGGGGGCGGAGTGGCTGCTGATGGAGGAGCAGAAAGCGCGAGCGGCACGGAGGAGGCCGGAGTCGGTCTACTTCTGGGCAAAGGCCGGGGGTATTGGAGTGGGGAGTAACCAGGTCGGAGAGGTGGGGAGGTGCCAGGGGGTGAAATGAGTTCCACCCATACAACGCACACTCTGGTGTTCCCCCACCCCAACCCCCCATTCACCGCACCACCACCCCACCGCCCGCCCGCCCGACCTCCAGCCTTGGTATTCGTCAATTTGTGCCTAATACTGTCCAGAATTCGGCAATGAGTGTGTCACTGTGAAGCAATTTAACTGTTATCTCTTTCCCTTGACAGAGAAAGAGCGGGCGGAGTCAGACCAAGGTATGTGAGAGCTTTCATCCCATTAACATCACGTTAACCTACAGCTTTTTAACCTACCACCTAAGTGGGGTTTCCTTGGGGTTGAACTGACCCCCCAAGGTAACATGTTTGGCAACAGAACGTCAGCGTCGAGCCAGGCCTCTCCGTCGCGGTCTCCAGTCCGGTTTCCTGAACAGGATGCATCCCCTCCATGGAGACAGAGGGTGGATTCCATTCCAACTATCTATCTCTGGGATTCCTGAGTGTACTAAGTGGGATGTATGGAACTCTCCGCTTGATTTGGAGACTCTGAAACACGTGGAAACCCATCACCGCGCTTCCGACACCCGGCTGAGCAGGAGAAAAAAGCTCAAAGTATTAATAATACCCCTTTGCTCGGGGTTAGCCTGGCTCGGTCACCAACGTCCTCTCGCCTCCGAGTTAGATGGTTCTGGGTTTCAGCCCCACGTGGGGACTTCGAGCTCACAGTCCAGGCTGAGGCTCCATAACTGCTCTGGGGGGAGCCTCGCATTGTCAGGAGCGCCGTCCTTTAGATGAGACATTAAACAGGTCCTGTTTGCTGTGCGGTGTTTTCTGTGGAGCGCTTTGAGATGTGAGGAACCTAAGGATTATTATTTATTATTATTATTACAGGACTTCAGACGTTGTTGCATCAGCTCTCTCCGTCACTCTCCGTGTCACTCACACGCTCGTTCTGTCTCTTACTCACTCGCTGCTCTCTCTCTCTGTCCCTCACTCGCTTTCTCTCTCGTCTTTTCTCTCTCTCTCTCTCCCTGTCACACTCTGTTTCTCCCGCACTCATTCTCTCTCTCTTACTGCGTCTCTCACTCATTTTCTCTCACTCTCTGTATCTCTCTCTCACGCCCACGCTCTGTCTCTCACTCTACGTCTCTTTCACTCACTCACTTTCTCTCTCTCTCTCTCTCTCTCTCTCTCTCTCTCTCTCACTGTGTCGCTCCCACTCCTTCTCTCCTACTCACTCTGTCTCTCACTCTTTCTGTGTCACTCGCTCTCTGTCACTCACTCATTTTCTCTCTCACCCTATACCCCTCGGGTCTCTCGCTCGCTCGCACCGGCTCTCGTGTGACAGCCGTGTGTACAGGCTGTGTGCGCGCGTGTGTGTGCGTGTGTGTGTGTGTCAGCGTCGCTCACACCGGCCCCGTGTGACAGCCGTGTGTACAGGCTGTGTGCACGCGTGTGTGTGCGTGTGTGTGTGTGTCAGCGTCGCTCACACCGGCCCCGTGTGACAGCCGTGTGTACAGGCTGTGTGCGTGCGTGTGCGTGTGCGTGTGTGTCAGTCTCTCTCACGCTGACTCTCTCTCTCTCTCTCTCTCAGCCGTGTGTACAGGCTGTGTGCGTGCGTGTGCGTGTGTGTCAGTCTCTCTCACGCTGACTCTCTCTCTCTCTCTCTCAGCTGTGTGTACAGGTGATCACCAGACTGACTCGCGGAGACCGTTCCCCAGAGGCTGTGACCGATGATCTGGTGGAGAAGCTGCGAGAGAGGTTGAAGGAACGGGAAGCGGCACTGGAGGTGAAGGGGGGTCCTCAAGCCTCTCCCTCACGCGTGTCTCTGACCCACTTGTCTGTGTGTGTGTGTGTGTGTGTGCGTTTGTCTCCCCTGTCCGCGTGTGTCCTGTCTGTTTCTCTGTCTGTCTCAGTGTGTGTCTGACCCCATCTGTGTGTGTGTGTGTGTGTGACTCACTGTGTGTATGGTGTGTGACTGTGTGTATGTGTGTGTGTGTGACTTGCTGTGTGCGACTGTATGTGTGTGACTGTGTGTATGTGTGTGTGTGACCTGCTGTGTGTGACTGTATGTGTGTGACTGTGCGTATGTGTGCGTGACCTGCTGTGTGCGTGACTGTGTGTGTATGTAAGACCTACTGTGTGTGTGACTGTGTGTGTGTGTGTGTGCGTGTGCGCGCGCGCGTGTGATCTGCTGTGTGCGTGACTGTGTGTGTGTGTGTGTGTGAGAGAGAGACCTACTGTGCCTGTGTGTATGTGACTCGCTGTGTGTGTGTGACTCACTGTGTGTATGGTGCGTGACTGTGTGTGTCTGTGTGTGTGTGTGTGAGACCCGCTGTGTGCGACTGTATGTGTGTGACTGTGCGTATGTATGTATGTATGTATGTATGTATGTATGTATGTGTGCGTGACCCGCTGCGTGTCCGTGTCCGTCTTTCTCTCGCGCAGAGAGCTGCTGATGACAGGTTCGCTGCTCTGGAGGAGAAGGAGGCAGAGACTCGGAGGTTGCGGGCGGCGCTGAGGGACGTGGAGTGTGATGTGAGCCGCCTCAGCCTGGTCCTCGCTCACAACCAGCAAATGATTAACGTGAGGAGCCGTGCGCCGTGCGTGTGCGTGCGTGCGTGTTTGCGTGCGTGTTTGCGTGCGCGTGCGTCAGGGGCACTTTGAGCTCGCAGTCCAGGCTGATGCTCCAGTGCGGCGCTGGGGGGGGGGGTGAGGAGGGGGAGAGGAAGAACAGCTTTGTCAGAGGTGCCGCCCTTCGGACGAGAACTTAAGCCTCACTCCCCATCTGCGGCGAAGTCGCTGTGCGCGGACCGTCTGCCCGCAAAGACGCGCAGTCACCGCACTTTGCACGGAAAACCCGGCGAAGCGCTTCGAGACGCCCCCCTCCCGAGGCTGGTTCCGGGCGAATCGCGTCGCCTGTTACCTGAGCAGTAGGCAGGAGCTCGCTCGGCCGATCGCTTTCCGATCGGGGTTAATGATAAATGATCAATAAATAATAATAATAATTTGCTCTCTCAATCCACGGCCGTTCGTGGGACGCCGCTGCGGGCGATCGGCTGCCGCGTTTGGCCCACACGATACGCAGTCAGGTCACTCGACGGTGTATTCTGCGAAGCGCTTTGAGACGTCGCGACGAGGTGATAAATCTGAGCCCCCTCTCACCCCCCCCCCCCAACACCCGCCCTCCATCTCTCACTCTCTCTCTCTCTCTCTCTCTCACACCAGCTGCTGAATCAGACGCTGTCTCAGAAGACGTCTGTCCTGAGCCAGACCGAGACGCTGTGTAAGGCGGTGGCTCAGACGGCTCGGGAGGTGGACGGGAACCGGACGGCGGCCCTGAGGGAGAAGGACGCCATTATCGCCCGCCTGCAGGAGGCGCTGGAGAGCAGAGGCAGGGACGTGGCGGTACGGCCAACGCAGTTACAGGAGGAGGCCATTCAGTCCCTCGAGCCTGTTCCGCCATTCTATACGATCATTGTTAATCTGCACCTCAACTCCAACTCCTGTCGCTGCCTTTTGCCCCATATCCCTTGATCCCCCGACCTGACAAAACTCTTATCGACCTCAGTCTCTCTCCCTCTCGCGCTGTGTTGCTCCCTCAACCGTGTGTTTTTTCTCAGTGTTTCTCTCTCTCTCTCTCTCACACCCCCTCACTCCCCAATCCACCACCCGGCACCTCCGCTCGACTGGCGCCGGCCGTCCTGCTCGTCCCTCGCGCCCTCCGCCCCACCATTGGATTCAGCAGCTACGCCCCGAAACTCTGGAACTCTCTCCCTCAATCCCTCCTCCTCCTCCTCCTCCTCCTCCTCCTCTCTGCGCCCTCACTCCCTCTTTTTAACTCACCCCTGAAAACGTTCCTTTTCGACCGTCACCCACACCCACCCCCAACCAACTCAACCCACCCCAACCGCCAGCTCGGAGTCAGGCTCCGCCACTGTGGAGTCCTGTAGCTCAGTGGTTAGAGCACTCGCTTTGCAAGTGAGAGACCTGAGTTCAGTTCCAGGCAGAGGGCCAAACCTTGGGCAAGTTTCCTTACCCCACACAGAGCCGAATAATAATCCCTCCAAAACCCCAAACAATAATAAATTGGTCATTTTCAATCTGCGACTGTTTGTGGGACATCGCTGTGCGCCATCGGCTGCCGCGATCCCCCACAAATATACAGTCAATTCGCTTTACAGTGTGTTCTGTGAAGCGCTTTGGGACGTCCTCTCCCGACGTGAAAAGCGCTATATCAAATGCGAGGATTATTATTATTATTATTATTAAGTGCTCTGAGACATTGTCGTTGTGTGTTTCTCTTTCACTATTGTGTTTCTCTCTTGTGCTGTTTCTTTCTCCCTCACTATCTCACTGCTTTTCTGTCACGCGCTGTTTCTCTCACTGTGTGTCTCTGTTTCAGTTGCTTTCACGTTCTCGCTCTCCGATTCTCTCTCACTGACGCTCTCTCACTCTGTTTCTCTCACACAGTCTCTCACTGATTTTCTCTGTGTGTGTGTGTGTCTCTCTCTGACTCTCTCTCCCTGATATGTCTCTCGCTCTCTCTCTCTCTCTCTCTGATTTTCTCTCTCTGTCTCTCTCTCTCTCTGTCTGACAGGCACTGACAGACTCGGTGCTGGGTCGGGGTCTGAGCGGGGCACCTGACGTCTCGGACAGTCTGCGTGCGAGTCTGAAGGACAAGGAGAGTTTGCTGAGCCGGTGTCTGGAGGAGCAGAAACAGAGGAGCAACGAGCACCAGGCACAGGTGGAGGGGATGCTCAACACCATCGCACACAAGGAGCAGAGAATCCAGGTATAGAGAGAGAGAGAGAGAGAGAGAAAGAGAGACGGGGACGGGGACGGGGGGGAGAGAGAGAGACGAACAGGCGGGCGGAGAGAGGGAAGCAGACAGAGAGAGGGAGGTGGACAGAGAGAGGGAGTCTCAGACTATATAGAGGTGCTCACTGTTAATATCAGATTATATAGAAGTGTCACTGTTAATATCAGACTATATAGAGGTCTCACTGTTAATTTCAGACTATATAAAGGTGCTCACTGTTAATTTCAGACAAAATAGAGGTGTCACTGTTAATACCAGACTATATAGAGGTGCTCACTGTTAATATCAGACTATATAGAGGTGCTCACTGTTAATATCGGACTATATAGAGGTGCTCACTGTTAATATCAGACTATATAGAGGTGCTCACTGTTAATATCAGACTATATAGAGGTGCTCACTGTTAATATCAGACTATATAGAGGTGTTCACTGTTAATATCAGACTATATAGAGGTGTCACTGTTAATATCAGACTATATAGAGGTGCTCACTGTTAATATCAGACTATATAGAGGTGTCACTGTTAATTTCAGACTATATAGAGGTGTCACTGTTAATATCAGACAAAATAGAGGTGTCACTGTTAATATCAGACTATATAGAGGTGTCACTGTTAATATCAGACTATATAGAGGTGTCACTGTTAATTTCAGACAAAATAGAGGTGTCACTGTTAATTTCAGACTGTATAGAGGTGTCACTGTTAATACCAGACTATATAGAGGTGCTCACTGTTAATATCGGACTATATAGAGGTGTCACTGTTACTACCAGACTATATGGAGGTGTCGTTAATATCAGACTATATGGAGGTGTCGTTAATATCAGACTATATGGAGGTGTCGCTGCCACTGTTGTCATTGTGTCCCCTGTTCCCCTCCTGCAGAAGCTGACCGAGCTGTACAGTCAGACACAGGCTGCCCGTGAACAGGAAGCGCAGGCTCTAACACAGCGTCTGGCCGACAGGGAGCAGGAGATGGAGGGTCGAGCCCGGGCCGAGTCCATCACAGCCCAGGAGCGCCGTGCTGAGCGGGCGCAGCTCCAGGCATTGCTGGACAACGAACACCAAACGGTTCTGGTGAGGCTTGTGACCGTTGGTTGAGGCTGTGAAGTGTATTAATTGTGCGGTGTCTCTCCGGTGACTGCCGTTAATCCCCCCCCCCCCCCCCCACCCCCCCCCCGTCTGTGCCCCACTCGCACGGCTGTTAAAGATCTCTGCGGCGCTGCTCGGGGGGGAAAAAAAGCTCTCCCGCTCGTCTCCTGTCCGGCAATCGACCAGATAACATGTCTGTTTGTAGGGAAGTGGTTGCTCAAATGCAATTGAGCTTCTGCTTTCACCCACCAAACTCACAGTCACTGCACCTGGCTGCAAATTCCGTGCCGCGCTTCAATGGCGATGCTGTTTCAGAGCACTCGCCTCGCAAGCCGGAGGACCCAGTTCAATTCCCCGGGCGGGCTGAAACCTTAGGCAGGTTGTCTTACTCCGCGCGCCTCTGTTTTTTCTCAGCAATAAGTCGGAAACCGGGTTGTTAGTGGATTGGCGGATCGCTTTCCGGGGGGGGGGGGTAATAATTCCTTAAACAAAATGGGGTCGCTCAATCCGCGACTGTTTGCGCGACGCCGCTCCGCGCACTTGACTGCCCACGGTCGGTCCACTTTGCAATATATTCCGCGAAGAGCTTTGAGACATCTCGAAGACGCGATAAGGCAATATTGCTGTGCCATATGCAAGGATCATTATTATTATTATTTGCCTGGGGTCTGGGAGCAGGAATTCTGGCTGTTTTTTCCCCTCGCTTACCCTGGAATTTAGCCTCAAACCCCTCCCTTGCGGCCGCCACGTGATACTTTTCTCCGACTGACGCAGGATCTGTTGGACGCTTCGCAAGAGAAAGATCGCCTCCTCTCCAGACTTCAGGAGCAGCTGCAAGACAACATGAGGCTGAAACTGACCATGAAGCAGACCCTTTGAGGTTTTTGCGCGTCTCTTTATAAATCGGCCCATTTCGCTTCAAGGCGGTGGGCGTCCTGTGGCGTAGTGGTTAGAGCACTCATCTCGCAAGCGAGAGGACCTGGGTTCGATTCCCGGGCAGGGTGACTCCTTACTCCACGCACGCGCCTCTGTTTATCTGGCAGTAATAAGCCGAACCCGGTGGTCAGTCGATTGACGATCACTTTCCTGGGGCAATAATTCCTTTAAGAGAAATTGGTCGCTCAATCCATGACTGTTTGTGGGTCACCGAAGTGCGCAATTAATTGCCTGTCGTGTTTCGCCCACAAAATACACAGTCAATTCGCTTCACGGTATATTTGTGAAGTTGTTTTGAGTTGTCATCTCCACAACAGATGCAAGGATTATTCCAAGCACTGAGGACGATACCTGTGTGAGGGGGGGGGGGGGCACTGTACGAGTCGGTGCCGTCGTCGTTGGAATTTCTCCCCAGCGGTGTCAAATTCCCTTTGGTTTCAGATCGCTTGTGGGGGCTGCGTGAGGCCTGAGGCGGGGAGGAGGTGAGATGGTGCCAAGAGTCAACTTAAAGACAGGGACCGAAGAGAGGGACAATCAAATGGAGTCGGGTCAGGCCAAAATCCTCGAACGTCCATTTGCGGATCGACCGCTGACCTCCCAATAACACTACCTCACTGCCGTTGAGGGAATGCTCTGTGTTCTCTGTTGATCCGGGTAATCGTGAGATAATAATCCTTGCATTTGATACAGCGCCTCGAGACGTCCCAAAGCGCTTCGCAGAATACGCTGCCGAGTGAGTTGCATGGGTGATGGGTTTCCGCACCGGTCAGATACCCGGTTGACCAAAAAACAGTGTTATAGGATCTATACGGATGCAAGGATTGTTATTGTAATAATAATAATGCTTTTTGGTGATAAATGCAATGGTGCCACACCGGGGGGGGGGGGGTGGGGGTGGGGGGGGGTGGTTGGGGCGGTGCTGTGGGTACACCACACTCAATCTGTTTGGGTAGAATTATTTATTTGGGAGAGGGGGTGGGAAGAAGACTGTTTTTTTTTTGCAATTCAGGGAATTATTTACTGCCAGTTCTGCAGGGAGAGGGAGTAAGTGTGTGTGTGTGCGTGTGCGGGTGTGTGTTTCGGGGTGGGGGTGGGGGGGGGTGTGTGGTTAAAGTGTTAACAGGATATTTGTCACGATGTACGAAATAGCTGATAAGTGCCCGAGTATCCCCGTATTTTAAAGAAGTGAATTAAAAACACTCCGTTTAACTTGAGTGAAGACTGTTTACTGAGCTGAACGCTCCATATGAAAAAAAATAAACGCGTGGTCACTGCTTGTGGGACACTGCTGCTGCGCTTCTCCTGCAAAACACACAGTCACTATACGTTACAGTGCATCCCGTGAAGGAGCTTTGAGACGTCTGGACGATGTGATCAGGCTCCATGTCAAATGCAAGGATTATTATTATATGGCGGCAGAGGGAGACGACGACAACAACTTGGATTTATATAGCGCCTCTGAGTCTCAGAGCGCTTCGCAGTAACGGACCCCGGGGCCGAGCCCCCGGGGGTGGGGGGAGAGAGGGGGAGGAAAGTGACCAAAGGCGCGGTCGAAAAGAAAGGTCTTCAGCGGAGTTACCTGAAAGTGGGACGAGAGAGGGGACGAGGCGAAGGGAGCGAGGAAGGGATTTCCCGATGACGGTGTCACAACGCCTTGGGGATGGCGGGAGGCGACGGTAGGCGCGGTCGAAGAGGAACGTCTTCGCCCGAAGAGTGAGGAGGAGGAGGAGGAGGAGGAGGAGGAGGGGGCAAGGCAGAGGGACTGAACAACAAAAACAACTTGCATTTTTTTTTTACAGCTTTTTTTACAGGGATTTGTAGATGAGCGTGAGGATTTGTTCAGTGATAGGGAGCCGGTGGAGCGAGAACTGGTGCAGTGGGGTATGGCGTTTAGTGAGGGCGGACGATTTCTGGATCACAGGAGAGAGGGAGAGAGGACCTTATCACAGTCGGAATAGATTAGATTACATTCCAGTACAGACTCCCTCCCTCCCCCATCCCTCCCACCCCCCCTCCACCACCCCCCACCCCCCCCCCCCCCCCCAACCCGACGCTGGGTTATATTCTCTGCGCTTACCCAATGTCAGAGAGCGTTGCTGCTGAGGACGGCAAATGTTCTCTCAGCTCTTTATCAGCGAAACCGAAAGCTTTGCGAAACCAGGAAGCAGAAACAGTCCGATCCTAAGAGTGGGTCGAGCGCCGAGTTCCACTCATTCATCCACTCGCTAACGCACAAACTCTCTGAACACGCACACCCACCCACACACACACACACCCACACACGCACACACACGCACACACACACTCACCCACACAGTGACTCACTAACTCACTCAGCCGTTCACTGGCCAACTCACACCGTAACTCGGTCACTCGCTGACATCTCACAGTAGCACACGGACACACACACACGCGACAATCAGTTGCACACGCACACTCGTCACGTCACAGTGGCACACACACACACAGGCACTCACTCGCTAGCGCTCACAGTTACACACTGGCACACAGCAACACGCACATATCACACGCTAAACTCCTCACCCCCCCCCCATCACTCATTAACACGCTCGCTAACACACTCAGTGTTAATGACGCACTGACACAGTTACGCACGCAAACACCGAGTTACACACACGCATTAATACTGACCGTTACGCGCAGCAGCACACACTAACGCGCTCACTAACACGCTCACCAACACACGGCAGCACACACTAGCACGCTCACCAACACACGGCAGCACACACTAACACGCTCACTAACACACAGTGGCGCACACTAACACGCTCACCAACACAGAGCAGCACACACTAACACGCTCACCAACACACGGCAGCACACACTAACACGCTCACCAACACACAGCAGCACACACTAACACGCTCACCAACACACAGCAGCACACACTAGCACGCTCACCAACACACGGCAGCACACACTCAGCCATGGCATCTGGCTTACCCGCGGGCTCTTTCAGCGAAGAGCTGAGGTGCCCGGTCTGCGTTGACCTCTTCACGGCTCCGGTCACCCTGGCGTGTGGGCACAGCCTCTGCCAAGCCTGCATGGATCGTGGCTGGGAGGCGGGCAAACATCTCTGCCCAAAGTGCCAGGAGCCCATCGCTCACCATGACCTCAAGGTCAATGAGGTGCTGGCCAGGCTGGCGGAGAGAGCCCGGGCGCAGGGGCAATGCCAAGGGCCGAGAGAGGGCGAGCATCGCTGCCCACTGCACAATGAGGACCTCAAGCTCTTCTGTGAGACAGACCTGCAGCTGATCTGCGTGGTGTGCAGAGATGGCTTACAGCACCGAGATCACAGCTGCCGGCCTCTGAACGACGCCGTGGATATCTTTAAGGTACCCCCCATCACACCAGTCTTCGCCAGGCTCAACTGGCTCCCCATCACGCACTAAACTCCGCACCCTCATCACCCCAGTCCTCACCAGGCTCCATATCACACGCTAAACGCCTCACCCCCATCACTCCAGTCTCTCACAGGGCTCCACTCCGCTCCCTATCGCCGAATGGGTTTTCAGGATCATCTCACTCGTTTTCAAATCCCTTCGTGCCCTGGCACCTCCCAACCTCTCCGGCCTGCCTACCCCTCCCAACCCAAAGCCTCCGATCCACCGGCCCCTGGCCCTTCCTGCATGTCCCTTGTGCCCTCCGTCCCACCACCGGTGTGGCCGCACCTTCAGCAGCTACGCTCTGAAATTCTGGAACACTCTTCCTCTATCCCTCTGCCTTGCCCTTTCATTCCAGTCGCGCCCCCCCCCCCCCCCACCCCGTCACACACACAGATACATCCATATGATTCTCATCTCTGAGTCAAAAGGGTTCAAGCCTCCAAATCTAAGGTGTCTTTGCTGCATTCTCAGAGTGCTGTCCTTTGGACGAGGCATTAAACTAAGATTGCACTGTGTTCCGGGAGGACATTAATGATCTCCAAGGCGTTACGAGAAGATAGAAGAGATCTTTTCCCTTCCAACCCCCACTCAGGTGTCGTGACCAAACATTCCACACCCCCAAACCACCACCCCCCCCCCCCCACCCCCAGATGAAACAGCTCGCTCACTTGTTTGCAGGAAGTTGCCGTGCACAAATTGCGGCTGTCGCGTTCGCCGATAAAGCACGACTGCTAACCGCACGAGGTGTGCGTCTTCTGCGCAGCCCTTTTGAGAACTTTTTAGTGTTCTGTAGCGTCGTGGTTAGTCGACTGGCGGATCGCTTTCCCCGGTTGATGATCCCTTCAAAAAGATAAATAATAATTTAGTCGCTCAATCCACGACCGTTTGCCGGATACTGCTGTGCGCAATTGGCTGCCGCCGCGCTCTCCTACAAGATATACGCTTTGCACGATCTCCTGTGAAGCGCTTTGAGATATCTGAACGACGCAATGTAAAGATTATTGTATTATTATGCTCTGTGACCGGGCAGCAAATGTTAATAACAATACAATTGTAATTTCAGCACAATCTGAATGCCACCATCGACTCGCTCAGAGCCTGCCAGGCAGCAGTCCTGGAATCCGAACTCAATCACGAGCAACATATGCGTACAGTAAAAGTGAGTTCTCTTGTATAGCGCCTTTCGGGTCGGGAGGGCATCCCAAGGCACTGGGCAGTCAGTCATTTGGACCCGAACTGGGGGTCAGGATTGGGGAGGGTGGAAGGCAAGGGGGGGAAGTAGGGTGATCGAAGAGGAGAGTCTTGAGATAGGTTGTGAAGGATGCAAGGGAGAGAGAGCGAGGCAGAGGGACCGTGGGATGGAGTTCCAGAGGGTGGGGGCAGAGTGGCAGAAGGTCCGCCTGCCAAAGGTGGCAGGTGGACGTGAAGCCGGCTGGAGCCCGCTGAGCGGAGGGAGCGGGCAGGGGGGTTAGGAGGTCAGAGAAGTAGGGGGCAGCAAGACTATGGAGGGCTTTCAAAGTGTGGAACAGGATCAGCGATTCAACCCGAGCTGGAGTGGGGAATGGGGGAAAGCGGGGCGATTTAGAGTATGGTCGAACTGTATCCTTTGTGTGAAGGGAAGCCAGTGGAGTTGGGTGAGGATGGGGGTGATAGGATCACGGAGCCTGGTCCGGGAGAGGACATGGGCTGCAGAGTTCTGGACGATCTGCAGCCTATGGAGGGAGGAGTTGTGGAATCAGGAGAGCCTCAGTCAACTGTTCGACCGCAGAAAGTTAGCTCTCATCTGAGACTTGACGTCTGACAGACATTCGGTCAGGACGGCAGTGGATCTGGAGTCGAGGGTGGAGGGATAGAGAGATACAGTTGGGTGTCATCCGCATTCATGTGGAAATTGACCCCGTGTCTGCGGATGATGTGGCCAAGAAGGAGCACGTAGCAGAGGACCAAAGTCAGACCTCTCCATGATCTGATCAAACACAAGGATTATTATTAATGTTGTATTATCATTGGTACTATTTGTAATTGCTGCTGTTATTAATATTATCGTTTTTTTTTATTCCTTAATATCTAACAAACGTCTGCGCTTGCTCCCCTCGCTCCCTCCTACCTCTCCAACCTACTATCCCCCTACCTACCTGCCCGTACCCTCCGTTCCTCCGGCTCTGGTCTGATCCACGTCCCCCGCCCCAATCGTCCTACCATCGGTGGTCGGGCCTTCAGCCTCTCAGCCCCGAGGCTCTGGAACTCTATCCTCCAGTGCCTTCGCCGCTTCCTCCCTCTCCTCCTTCAAGGCCGGTCTCAAAACCTTTCTCTTTGACCTTCAGCCTTCAGCTCCGCTCTCGACTCTCTACACCCTCCTCGCTCCCTCCCTTCCCTCCCCTCACCCTGACCATTTCCCCCCTCCTCGCTCCCTCCCTTCCCTCCCCTCACCCTGACCATTTCCCCCCTCCTCGCTCCCTCCCTTCCCTCCCCTCACCCTGACCATTTCCCCCCTCCTCGCTCCCTCCCTTCCCTCCCCTCACCCTGACCATTTCCCCCCCAATGCTCGGGTCATGACCCAACTGTGCAGCGCCTCGGGACGTCCTCCCGACGTGAAAGGCGCTTTATAAATGGAATCTTGTTGTTGTTGTTGTTGTTGTTGTTGCGCGCAGGAGCAGGCCGGCCGTTTGCTGAACCACATCACGGCCGAGTTCTCTCAGATGCGGCAGATCCTGGACGAGAAAGAGGCGCGTTTGATCCAGGAGCTGAAGGACAGAGAAACGGACGTGCTGAAAGCGACCGGTGAAAGTCTCTGCCTGATCGAGAGCGACTTGAGAGCCATCGAGCACGAGTTAGAGAGCTGCTGGAAGAGGTTCAACGAACCAAACCCGATGACCTTTCTGAAGGTAGGGAGATGGTTTCGAAAGCGAAGGATCAAAATAATAATCGTCGCGTTTGACGTAGCACCTTATCACGCTTTCGAGACGTCTCGAAGTGCTGCGCCTGAATAAAGGGGAGTGACTGTGCATTCGGTGGGCGCACGTAGGGTTTCGCCCACAAATATACGGTCGGTTCGCTTTGCAGCATAGTCCGTGAAGCGCTTCGAGACGTCGAGAAGGATTGCGAGGATTATTATTATACACTTGCCGAAGCGTTCCCCCCCGCCTGGGAATCGAACCCACGTCCTCTCGCTTGCGAGCCACGTGCTCCAACCAATGCTCTCCAGGGCACGGATTATCAGTTTAATATAGTAACGTACTAACCTTCGCCGACAAGAGGTTTGCTCTGCGTGTTAATTCACAAATTTGAAATTGGAATGCATTTACTTGTTCGTTTCGTTGCAGGGCGAGTCTTCGCGGACCAGCGGGTAAGATTCCTTGTTTTGTCATCAATCTCCGTCCTCTTATTCCGACGGCTGATTTCAAGACACGATGGTTTCTGGGTTCTTAATCTCACGTCAACCCCGTTTTGTTATTGCAGAAGAACGGCAAACTACAAATGTCTGTCCCTGGTCCCCAGCGAACTCCCGCTTGGGCCGTTCACAGGTCCCTTGCAGTATAAAGTGTGGAAGGAAATGTTCAGTCTTATCAGTCCGGGTGAGTGACGGAGGAAGAGGGGGGGTTGCGAAACCGCCGGATGGAGTGAGGAAGGCAGGGAATAAGTAACTGGGAGTGGGAGGGAACGTATAAGTAGGGGAGGGAGGGTGGGAGTATGTAACCAGTGGGTTGAGGGAGTTTGTGACCGAGAGCAAAAGAGAGTGAGTGTGTGAGTGCATAATAGAGAAGGAACGAATAAATAGACAAACGAGAGCGAGCGTGCGAAAGAGTACGTGGGAGAGGGAACGAGGGAGCGAGTGAGTTCGTAAACTCAGGGAGAGAATGAACGGACGAATGAATAAGAGAGAGAGAGCACGGGTTATGAACAGGGATGAGTGAGTGTGCGAACGGGTGTGTGGGAGAATGAAGGAGCGAGGGAGTGAGAGAGTGAGAGTGAGGATCGATTCAGCGTGCGAGATGCCCGTGAATCCTAACTTTTAATTCTTCTCGACCTTTTTCCCTCTTGGCTCCGAACACAAAAGTCCCGGCATTCATGACCCTGGATGCCAGAACAGCCCACCCGCATCTCATCGTGTCCGAGGACCTGATTAGTGTGAGGTATTCCGATGATTTCCAGGTGCTCCCGGATACCCCAGAGAGGTTCGATGAGTGTGTCAGTGTCCTGGGATCTCAGGGCTTCACATCAGGGAGACATTACTGGGAGGTGCAGGTGGGCAATAAGACCAAGTGGGATTTGGGGGTGGCCAGAGAGTCCATCAACAGGAAGGGCTCAATTCTTCCCTCTCCTGGTACCGGATACTGGCTCTTAGGGCTCCGGAACAGGAATGAATATGAAGCTCGAACCTCACCCACCACTCTCCTGACCCAGGGAACCAATCCTCGGAAGATCGGAGTTTACCTGGACTATGAGGGGGGACAGGTTTCATTTTACAACGCTGATAACATGTCTCATCTTTACACCTTCACTGAAACTTTCACTGAGAAACTTTATCCCGACTTCAGCCCCTGTTTGAACGAGGACGGGAAGAATGCGGAGCCGCTGAGAATCTCCCTGGCTATGAATAATTAATAATGACTACTATTCGAGATTAGCCTGTTCACAAACTGTCCCACCTCTTGCTAGTTCAGGGTTAACTAATTCAAATTAACGAAGAAATTCGACATCCATTTTTGAGGTTCTGTCCTCGAATGATTCGGGTCTTATCTCTCACACCGTCTCCAATCTGTCGCCACCAACGATTCTCTTTCAGCCACCGCACAGTCTTTCTTGTGCGATGTTCCTCAGGGCTCTGTCCTCGATCTCCTCCACTTCAACCTCACGTGCTCTCCCTTGGATGACACCGTCTGCAGATCTGGGGTCAATTTCCGGATGTGCGCGGATGACACCCAACTCTATCTCTCTGCCTCCACCCTCATGATCGACCTTCAACTGTCCTTTCTCCCCCATATCTAGGCCATGACCCGCTCTGCTTTCCTCCACCTCCCCAACATTGCCCAATTCCACCAGTGCCTCACCCCTCAGGCCGCCAAAACCCTCATACATGCATTCGTCACCTCAAGGCTCAACTACGGAGACCCCCTCCTTGTCGCCCTCCCCAACTCTATTCCCTCCACAAGCTGCAGACCATCCAGAACTCATGTCCTTCAGAACCACTCACGTCCTCTCCCGCACCGGGCTCCGTGATCCCATCAACCCCCACCCTGGCCCGGCTCCACTGGCTCCGCATCCCTCAGAGGATTAGCATTCAAAATCCTCGTCCTCACTCTCAAGGCCCTCGACAGTCTTGACCCATCCTACCTCTCTGACGGCTGACCCCTTATTAAGCTGTCCACTCCCTCAGTTCAGCATGCTCCAGGCTTGCTCCATGTCTCTCGGCCGACCCTCCCTACAATCAATCCCCTGGGCCTTCAGCTTCTCTGCCCCCCTTGGACCTCCATCTCACAATCCCTTTGCCTTGCTCTCTCCCCTCCTTTTCGATCGTGCCTTCAGCCATCCTCCTACCTCTCGGCCCTCCCTCATCCCAACCCCACCCTCAGGTCCTGATCCCTGACTGTTCAGCGCCTTGGATCGTCCTCCCGATGTGAAAGGCGTTTTACAAATGTCATTTTGTTGTTGTTGTTGTTGTTGTTGTCTAACTCACCCATCACTGAGAACCACTTACCTCTCTGCAGTGATCTAAATTACAATAACGTAATAATAATAATGACATTAATTCTTGCATTTGGTATCGCACCTTATCACGTCTTTGAGACGTCTCAAAGCGCTTCGCGGAATGTACTGCAAAGTGGATTGACTGTATATTTTGTCGGATCGAGTGACAATTTTTTTGGAGGGATTATTACTTCCGTAAAAGTGATCTGCCGCATATCTGCCGGGTGAAACCTTCACGTCATGGAGGACGCAAAAAAAAAAAAAAATCGGTCACTTCACAATCCACGACTGTTTGGGACACTGCCGTCCGCCAATGGCTGACGTGTTTCGCCCCCAAATTTACAGGTAATTCACTTTACAGCATATTCTGTGAAGCACTTTAGATGTCTAGAAGATGCGCAAAGCGCTATACCACATGTATTATTATTATTATCATTATTATTATTATTATTATTATTATCCCAAAGCACTTCAGCTGCTGTTTGCCATTATTTTGTGAAATAGGCGGATTTACTCATATGATGTAAAGTGTTGCTGTGAATTGAAGTTTATTTTTGTTTGTTGTCTAATTGATGGCGTTTACCGAATGGAATTCATCACGAACGCTAAACGTGTGAGTTTGCAAATCACGAATCATCGATCACCGATCATTACGAAACCCGGCAGCTGGCGCTTTACACATCATTTTTTACCAAATGTTTTACCAAAATCCACATTGCTCCTGTGTCTGATCGCAGTACTGATCGGGTTTGCCGTCTTTGGTTTCGTGGGTAACGAGTTTGACACTATCAAACCCATCGCAGAGTGCTTTCATTGGGAATCGCTGGCAAGTGCAGTGACTGTTTTTGTACTCCTACAAATCCGCGCGGGCAACTTAGCCGGGAAATAGTCTGTCCCCCCCCCAACTCCCTTCTCCTTTCCGACTCGGTGAGTTTCGCGTGTGAGTTTCTGCCTGAGTGAATGCGTGTGTGTGTGTGTGCGTGTGTGTATTTGTGTGGCTGTAGGTGCGTCTGTGCCTATGTATTTGTTTTTAATCTCTCTCTGTGTATGTGTACGTGAGTCTCTCTCTGTTGCTCTGTCCATGTGTGTTTATGTGTCAATGTTTGCACCTCTGCATTTGTGTGCGCGTGTCTCTCTCTGTATGTATGGCTATGTGTTTGCGTGTGTCCCCATGTGTGTGTGTGTGTCTCTCCGTCTGTGCGTCAGTGTCTGTGTCTCTTTGTGTTTGTGTGGATCTCTATGCGTGTGTGTGTCTCCGTGTATTCAGTATTCAGGGCGTGCCTGAGATTGAGCTGATCACTGAACACACGGACCGGTCTGACTGGTAACCCTGGCTATATAAACAGAACCGTCCCCGATCCGCCAAGCCCTGCCCTGCCCTGCCCTCCCTACCGGTTGATCGAGTCAGACCGAAGAAGATGGCTTCCTGGAGCGAGACCGAGCTGCTGACAGAGGAGCTGATCTGCTCGGTTTGCCTGGAGATCTTCGCCGACCCGGTCACTCTGCAGTGCGGTCACTGCTTTTGCCGAGCCTGTATCACCCGGTACTGGGGGCGTCCGGGGGTGCGGAGGTGCCCCCACTGCCGCCAGAGCTTTACAGAGGGGGACCTGAGGCAAAGCCGAGTGCTGGGGAACCTGGCTGATAAAGCTCGAGGTCTGAGCCTGAGAAGGAGCTGCGAGGAGCGGGAAGGAGATCTGAAGTCCAGCGAGGATCACCACAAACCTATCTGCTTGGCGTGTGGGGGGGAGTGGCGGGACAGTCACCGGGAAGTGGCTGACACACAAGGCAAGGTAAGAGAGGCGCTGACCCTCACAGGGGATGGCACTGCGATTCTCCCCGCTGACCCTGCTTCCTCTGCCGAGGACATCCTCCATTCAAACTGGCCGCCCGCCCGTGTTCGTTGAACAAAACCACATTCAGCTTTTCTGCCCCAAACTCTGGAATTCTATCCTGGAGCTCCTCTGCCTCGCGCCCTTGCCCTCCTTTGCCTCCTTCAAGGTCCGTCACAGGACTCTCTTTGACAGTGTCCGGAGTCATCTTCGCTCCTTCACTCTTGACTCCAACCCCCAGTTTGGACAACAAGATTACATTTGTATAGCGCCTTTCACGTCGGGAGGACGTCCCAAGGCCCTGGACAGTGTACAGCATTTCAGACCCGAGCTGGGGTCGGGGGGAAGAAGGGAGAGGAGAGGGGGGGGGTGACCGATGGCATGGTCGAAGAGAGGGTTTTGAGGCGGGACTTGAAGGAGGCTAAGGAGGGGGTGAGGCGGAGTGGGGGATGGAATTCCAGGCGTTGGGGGCAGAGGGGCTGAAGGCTCTCCCACCAATGGTGGGGCGGAGGGTCGGGGGACGAGGAGCAGGCCAGAGCCGGCTGAGCGTAGGGAGCGGGCTGGTTGATGGGGGGTTAGGAGGCCACAGAGGTAGGGTGGGGCGAGGCCATGGAAGGCTTTGTAGGTGAGGACCGGGATCTTGAACTGGATCCTCTGAAGGACAGGGAGCCAATGGAGTCGGGCGAGAGTGGGGGAGATGGGGTCACGGAGTTTGGTGCGGGAGATGACACGGGCGGCAGAGTTCTGGATTACCTGCAGCCTGTGGAGGGAGGAGTTGGGAAGGCCGACAAGCGGGGAGTTTGCATAGTCGAGCCTGGAGGTGAAGGCATGATCAAGAGTTTCAGCGGCCTGAGGGGTGAGGCAGTGGCGGAGTCGGGCGATGTTACGGAGGTGAGGGAAGGCAGAGCGGATCATGGCTTGGACGTGGGGAAGAAAAGAGAATTGACTGTTGACCAAGACACCCGGGTTCCTGATGGCTGGTGAGTTGAAGTGTGCAACCATGGAGGTTGACGCTGCCAGAGCCTGAGGTGCTGAGGCAATGGCGTGAGCCGATCGGGAGGGCCTCAGTCTTGTTCACATTCAACTGTAGGAAATTTGCAAGTGAATGTGCTCTACATAAACACAAAGCTCGTTAAAGCTCTTCCCTTCTTGGGAAATTAGGAGAGAATTTCTCTTCCTCCACCCAGTGACAATACCCCAGATACAATCGCTTGTTTGCTTCATGGCTGTGTGCAATTTGGCCGCCGTGGTGGTCTACAAAACACAATCACTGCGCTTTGCAGTGAAATGCACTCTGAGACAACTCCCAGACGTGAACGGTGTCACGTCAGATCGAACGCTATATCTTATTGATATTTGTGGAGTCCTGTGGCTCAGTGGTTAGAGCGCTCGCTTTGCAAGCGAGAGACCTGACTTCAATCCCAGGCAGAGGGCCAAACCTCGGGCAAGTTTCCTTACCCCACACAGAGCCTAATAATAATCCCTCCAAAACCAAAAACAATAATAAATTGGTCATTTTCAATCCACGACTGTTTATGGGACATTGCTGTGGGCAATTGGCTGCCGCGTTCGCCCACAAATATACAGTCATTTCACTTTACAGTATATTCTGTGAAGCGCTTTGGGATAATAATAATAATAATCCTCGCATTTGATATAGCGCTTTTCACGTCGGGAGGACGTCCCAAAGCGCTTCACAGAACACACTGTAAAGTGAATCGACTGTATATTTGTGGGCGAACGCGGCAGCCAATTGCGCACAGCAAAATGTCCGGGATGTCCTCCCGACGTGAAAAGCGCTATATCAAATGCAAGGATTATTATTATTATTATTATTATTATCGTACGGCCTGAGACGTAAAAGTTTTTACGTTCCTTTACCGCGTGCCCAGGACAATTTCACAGTCGCCGAAGTCTCCCTGAAAGAGAGGAAAGCAGCGGTTTGTGATGCAAAAACGAGACAGGAGGAGAATATCACGGATATTAAAGTAAGTCGCGGCCGTTTGATTTTAGCGGAAATTCTGCAAAGGTCAGGGGTCTGATTTCCAGTGTGGTGGCCGGGCTCTCCATCGTGTTTCTCGCTTTACTTTGTGATGTCTTACTGCGTGGAATTGAGGTACAGATCAGCCACCATCTTAATACCGGGTGGTCCAATCTGCTGAGGGCCGGATACCCTTTGAGGAGCGCACTCGGGCTGCGTAGCGGCATTTTTGAGTTTCCTTTCCAGAAACGTAACATTTACAGGTGGGGTGGACCGGATGAAATGGAAGGAGGGGGAATTGGATCAACCTGAATAGAATAATAATAATAATAATAATAATAATAATAATCCTTGCATTTGATATAGCGCTTTTCACGTCGGGAGAGGACGTCCCAAAGCGCTTCACAGAACACACTGTAAAGCGAATTGACTGTATATTTGTGGGCGAACGCGGCAGTCAGGTCTCTCGCTTGCAAAGCGAGTGCTCTAACCACTGAGCTACAGGACTCCACAATGACCAAACAGACTGACTGAACAGGCTCAAGGGGCTGAATGGCCTCCTCCTGTTCTTATGTTCCTACGTCTGACGCCTTCATTTTACAGGAACAGGCGAGCAGTCTGCAGAATCACATCGCGGGTGAGTTCGCTAAAATGCATCAGAGCCTCTATGACAGAGAGCAGCGTGTTATCCGAGAGCTCAGACAGCGAGAGGAGGAGATTCTACAGCGAATGGAAACCAATCTGCAAGAGATTCAAGACAATTTAGACTCTGTTGAGAGAGAGCTGTTAACAATACAAAGGCAAAGAGATCACCAAGAGACATTCACTGTCCTAAAGGTACCGGCAACTTGATAATAATCCTCAGATTTGACACAGAGTTCTCCATAAAGTGTAGTGACAGCGTTTGTAGGCAAAGGCGGCACAGGACGATCATTGGCCTGGATCATAGAGAGAAACGGCTTCTGTTCTCCCTGACTGTGTTGTGGATAATAATAATCCTTGCATTCGAGATAACGCCTTATCGCGTCTTCGAGAAGTCTCAAAGCGCTTCACCGAATATACCGTAAGGTGAATGGACCGTATATTTTTGGGGCGAAACTTAACAGGCAGCGACAGGAGGTGGAGTTTGAGGTCTCATTTGAAAGACGGTCCCTCTGACAACGCAGAGGTGCTTTTTTAAATAGAGATCGCGGTTCCCTACCCCCTCCACCAGTTCCTTCCTCGTGCCTACTCCCTTCTTCCACGTGCGTGTCGTGCTCCTAGACTGTTGGTGGATGTTGCGTGTGTGGACGCCCACGTGCTCTTGTACGTTGCATTCGCCTGCATTGTGTGCACGCGGACGCATATCCGTCGGCGTGCATCTTTCCGCGCTCGCGGGCACACGTTTGTATGTGGGTGCATGAGTTTGCATAATTCTTTTGCGTGTGTTTTTATGCGCGTGTACATACGAGGAGTTCGTGTAAGCGTGCGATTGTCTGCTCAGATCTGTGCTGTGTTTGTTTTAGGACAAGACGGGTCTGAAGAGAAGGTAAGACATTCCCTTTGTACAAACTCATTAAGCAGAGTAACTTGCCAAATTGCTGGACTTCCATTGCCAATCGCCGGGTACTTCCTTCTTCTAGGCTCAGCGAAAAAAACAGGGGAACATCTGCGATCCACGAAGATCTCTCTCTGGGATTGTTCAAGGGGCCTTTACAGTACACGGCGTGGAAAAAGATTTTAGCCAACATCAGCCCAGGTAGAGTCTTACAATTTCCCTTCTTAGAAGGCTGAGGAAAGAGCTCCCAAACCAGAGAAGTCTTAGCTTCTGAACAACAAGAAATTAAATTTGTATAACACCTTTTGGGAGGACATCCCAAGGTGCCGGACAGTCAAGAGATTTGGATCCGAGCTGGGGGTCGGGATCAGGTACGGTGGAGGGCAGGGAGGGCGGACGTAGGAGGGTAACCGAAGGTGCGATCAAGGAGGAGAGTCTTGACCTGGGGCTTGCGGGAGGCAAAAGATAGAGCGGAGCGAAGAGACTGTGCGTGGACTTCCAAAGTGTGGGGATAGATCGGCTAAAAGGCCCGACCGCTGATAGTTGAAAGCAATTTGGAGTTAGGGGTGTAAGCCAGTTAATAATTCCTCACATTTGATACACCATCAAAATATCTCAATACACTTTACGGGGAATTGCTGCCAAGTGTAGTGGCTGTTTATATCTGGATGTTCAATATCCACCTTTCAGTTGCGTGAAAAAAGTATGTGAGAATATAGATGGTGGCTTTAACAGTTCGACTGAAGAATAATATCAGCCATCCTCTTCCAGCTCCGGCTTCGCTGACTCTGGATCCTGACACAGCCCATCCCCGGCTCATCCTGTCTGAGGACCTGACCAGTGTGAGACACGGAGACAAGCGGCAGCCGCTCCCTGACACCCCGGAGAGGTTTGATCCCTACGTCTGTGTCCTGGGATCTGAGGGCTTCACATGGGGGAGACATTACTGGGAGGTGAAGGTGGGGAAAAAGACAAAGTGGGATGTGGGAGTGGTCGGAGAGTCCGTCGACAGGAAAGGGAATGCATCGCCAATACCGGAGAACGGATTCTGGATTGTGTGGCTGAGGAACAGAAACCAATATTGTGCTGTCGCCTCACCTCGTACCCGCCTGACCCTGGCAGTGAGACCCAGGAAGATCGGGGTGTACCTGGACTATGAGGGGGGACAGGTGTCGTTTTACAACGCTGATAACATGTCTCATCTCCACACTTTCACCGATACGTTCACCGAGAAACTTTTTCCTTACTTCAGTCCCTGTTTGAACGAAGGGGGAAGAAACTCGGAGTCGCTGAGAATCTGTCACGTGTAGACAGATTAAATCTGACAGACCTGACTTAGACGGATTGGTAAAATGGGCGGAAACGCGGCAGATGTGGTTTCATGTGGAGAAATGTGAAGTGTTGCATTTTGGTAGGAAGAATGAGGAGAGGCAGTATAAGCTGATGGTACAATCTTAAAGGGGGCGAATGATCAGAGAGCCCTGGGGTCAGTAACCCAAGGTCACCGATTTAAGATAGTTGTTAAAAGAAATAGAGGGGAGGTCGGAAGAAATGTTTTCACCCAGCGAGTTGTTCAGATCTGGAATGCATTCCCTAAAAAACCCTAACCCTAATTCAAGATCCTCATCCTCACCTACAAGGCCATTCACGGCCTCGCTCCCTCCTACCTCTCCGACCTACTATCCCCCTACCTACCGGCCCGTACCCTCCGTTCCTCCGGCTCCGGTCTGCTCCACATCCCCCGCCCCAACCGCCCTACCATCGGTGGTCGGGCCTTCAGCCTCTCAGCCCTTAGGCTCTGGAACTCCATCCCCCAGTGCCTTCGCCGCTTCCTCCCTTTCCTCCTTCAAGACCGGTCTCTTTGACCTTCAGCCTTCAGCTCCCCTCTCGACTCTCTACCCCCTCCTCGCTCCCTCCCTCCCTTGATATAGCGCTTTTCACGTCGGGAGAGGACGTCCCAAAGCGCTTCACAGAACACACTGTAAAGTGAATTGACTGTATATTTGTGGGCGAACGCGGCAGCCAATCGCGCACAGAATATACTGTAAGTTGATTTGACTGTGTATTTTGTGACAATTGGCTGCTGCGTTTCGCCCACAAATATGCGGTCAATTCACTTTTGCAGCGTATTCTGTGAAGCTCTTTGAGACGTCTAGAAGATGTGCAAAGCGCTGTATTAAATGCAAGGATTATTATTATTATTATTGTTGCGGGCGAAACACAGCCCATTGTGCGCAGCAGTATCCCACGATCAGTTCTGAATTGAGTGACCCATTTTTTTCTGAGCGATTATTAGCCCGAAAGGTGATCCACCGATCGACTAACAACCGGGATCCTGCTTCCTGCAAGGTAAACCGAGAACGTATGGAGTAAGGAAACTTCCCTAAGGTTTTGCCCTGCCCAGGAATCGAACCCGGGTCCTCCGGCTTGCGAGGCGAGTGCTCTAACCAGTACGCTTCAGGACTTTGCGATTTTAGGCGGCTGTGAGTCCAAAAATGGTGCCTGGAATGACTTGCGGTGGGGAGGAAAACACAAGAGTTAGGAACCGGCCTGGAATGGTTGGGGTACCTGGATTCGGATTGGAACGTACCTTTAGCCTTTCCAGATGAAGAACAAAACCCCACAGGTACCGGCCAGGAAAATGAAGAAGCACCACCATGGAGCTGCCTGGCTCAGGACGAGAGTCGGCCGCAGACAGTGGACTCCATGTTTGATGCTGAAAGCGTCACTGCCATACTGCCCGCTCCCTCTGTTCAGCGGGCTCCGGCCTGCTTCACGTCCCCCACCTCGCTCGCCCCACCTTTGTCAGGCATCCCGCAGTCTCTTCGCCTCACCCCCTTCCTTTCCCTCCTTCAAGCCCCATCTCAGGGCCCGACCGTGCTTTCGATCACCCTCCTTCCCCCCCCCCACCCCCCGCTCTTCACCCTTCCTGATTCCCAACCCCCAACTGTGATCCGACTGTCCAGCGCCGTGGGACATCCTCCCAACGTGAAAGGCGCTATGCACACGTAATTTTGTTGTTGTTATCATAGACCCCACCTCACAGCCACACATCCTTTGGTGACCGTGTGATTCGTTCTTTCCTGATTCCTTTCTCGGGGTGGGTCTCATGGAGCGGGAGGGCGCGGGGGGCTGGGGGGGAAGGGTGGTGTGCTAGGGCTGGCGTGTGAGCTCGTGACAGGTCTACATTAAAGGGTTCGTTTCCTGAATCTGAATAAAGATGTGTGTCTGTCCTTGTGTGCGTCTGTCCACCAAGAACGCAATAGGCGATTGGCGCACAGAGATGATTCATACCTCAAGAGAGAAACCTGACTGAGGGCACGGACATCACACAACGATAATAATGCAAAATACTGCAGATGCTGGAAATCTGAAAACAAAACCAGAAGTCATTGGGGCTCACTTTCCTTTCTCCGCAGATGCTGCCTGACCTGCTGAGTGTTCCCAGCGACTTCTGTTTTTTGTTCTCCTAATAATTTGATATAGCGCCTTATCGTCTTGAGACATCTGGAAGAGGTGAAAAAGCGCGATATCAAATGCAAGGATTATTATTATCGTTGTGTTGTTGAGACGTCTCAAAGTGCTTCAAGTGTAGGGACTTGAGGGCGAAAAGGAGCAGCCAGTTTGCCCGCAGCGACATCCCACAAACAGCCGTGGAGTGAATAACCAATTTTATCTGTTAGCCAGGACCCCGGGAGAGAGAGAGAAACTCTTCTCTTTTCGATAAACGCTGCGGGAGACCTTTATCGTTGACCTGAACAGTCTGACAGGGCCTCGGTTTGTCTCATTTGAAGGATGGCGGCATCGACGGTGCAACGCTGAGAGCCCAGGCATCACACGGCGCGTGTGGTAAAGAAAGAAACACAACTGGGAGAACAGAAATCAGTTCAGACACGACTTCCAGTGCTAAAATCTTCTATATTTGCCCCCAATTCAGCCTGGACAACAGCGTCCTTGCTCTTCATGACCGGAGCAAGAGGAGATTTCAGTTTTGCCTGCTCGCTCCCACTGCTCAGTGGGCTATGGCCTGCTTCGCATCCCCCTGTCTCAACCGGCCCACCACAACGGGCCTTCAGCCAATCTGCCCCCACCCTCCGGAACTCGATCCCGCAGTCCCTCCGCCCCGTCTCCTCCCTTGCTTCCTTCAAGACCCATCTCAAGACCTTCCTCTTCGACCATGCCTTCAGGCACACTCCTTCCTCCCCCACCCCTTCCCCCCCCTCCCCGCTCAGTCCTGAAGCACTGATCGTCCAGGGTCTTGGGACGTTCTCCCGACGTGGGAATAATCCCTGCCCCCGAGTGACACTCACTCCAAGTCCTGCTGACAAGTCAGGCCGGGCTGACTGTCATCAGCAGTCTCCTTGACTAATGTGGACCTGTCTGGATAAGGAACCTGCAACACACAACAGAAATGCAACGACAACAACAACAGTCCCTTCAGGTTGAAAAGTGGAGCAGTCTATTTTAACTGAAAGGCAAATTACAGACTTTCTGCGATGTAAGACCTGGATTCAGTCTGAGGAGGGCAATAAGCAGATGGAACTACTATTCTACAGTCATTTGCAATGTGACCAGGATCTATGTGCGGATTGTGCTGTGGACAATACTGAACCCTTTGCTGCAATAGATAGAAATTCCAGCTGCTCATAGGTCTGGATCAAAGGCGGAGTAAACCCAACTCATGTGTGTCCGGGTGTGGGAGCCTCCTCTCTGCTCATCACCGGAGTGAAACTGGAGGAAAGATCTCCTGGATTGACGTTCTATCAGACACATTACTTGGACCAAAGTTCACACGTTGGGTACAATCCAGACACAAACCAATAGAAATTCGCTGTGTTTCCAACTCCAGCCTTATTACAGGATCTCTATGGACCCGCAGAGCTTGGCGTTTTCTCCTGCAATCTCCCGCCTGCCCCCACCCCGTATTCCCTTAAACCACAAACAGCGAATGATGTGCAGGAAAAAGTGAGGAAAAACCACGTCACTGTCAATGTGTTAGAACCGGCAGATTCTCAGAGGCTCCGAGTTTTTCCCGCCATAATTATACCCGGGACTGAAGAGAGGATAAAGTTTCTCAGTGAAAATGTGGGTGAAAGTGTGGAGATGAGACATGTTATCAGCGTTGTAAAATGACACTTGTCCCCCCTCATAGTCCAGGTAAACCCCGATCTTCCCGGGTCTCACTGTCAGGGACAGAAGGGTGGGGGGTGAGGTCAGAGCCCTACAGACCTCGCCCACCAGTCTCACAGCCCAGACCCCATTCTCTGGTGACCGTGTGGTTGATTGTTTCCTGTTGACAGACTCTGTGGCCGTTCCCACAGTCCACTCAGTCTTGTTGCCCACTTGCACCTCCCAGTAATGTCTCCCTGATGTGAAGCCCTCAGATCCCAGGACAACGGGATCTTCACTAAACCTCTTCGGGCTGTCAGGGAGCGGCTGCCATATGTCTCCACATCTCACACTGGTCAGGTCCTCAGACAGGATGAGCCGGGGATGGGCTGTGTCAGGATCCAGAGTCAGAGCGGCCGGAGCTGAGAGAGAGAGAAAAATAACACAAAGTGAGGGGGTCACGGAGCGGGGGGGGCTGCAGGAGCGAGGGCGGGCACGAGGGGCCGGTGTGTGAGCTGGTGACAGATCCACATTAGAGGGTTAGTTCGATGAATCCATGGTAACAAAGACAAAATGTGTGTCTGTCCATGTGGGTGTGTCTGCAATAACCGATTGACTTAGAGACATGACTTATACCCCTTCAGAAAGGTCTTGCAAGTGAGGGTGTTTTTCACGGATCTCCTATCGTTGCTGAGCTGTCTTTAATTTCAAATGCTTTAATTAATTAAATCACACGCTCGTCTAAAGATATACATCTGTACTAATTATTCGGCAACCAAGTAGCAACAAGTTTAGACACCTTTCTAGAGTGCCATGGGCATATTTTTTTTTCGGGGGGAATCTCCTATCATGTAAAGGATAATAATACAATATAATGTGTAATACTACTGAAATCTACATCCCATATTGGATCCTTCGGTTGCAAGCGAAGCAACCGACAGCTAGTACAGCTGGTACAGGATAAAAAGACTGATTAAAAAGACACCAGCAGAGGGTGATGGTGACTGTGACTGGAGTTGGAGAAAATGCTCACACAGCACCACCTACTCATGGTAACGCAGTAATAATAATAATAATCCTTGCATTTGATATAGCGCTTTTCACGTCGGGAGGACGTCCCAAAGCGCTTCACAGAACACACTGTAAAGTGAATTGACTGTACATTTGTGGGGGAACGCGGCAGCCAATGGCGCACAGCAATGTCCCACAAACAGTCATGGATTGAAAATGACCAATTTATTATTGTTTTGGGTTTTTTGGAGGGATTATTATTAGGCTCTGTGTGGGGTAAGGAAACTTGCCCAAGGTTTGGCCCTCTGCCTGGAATTGAACTCAGGTCTCTCGCTTGCTCTAACCACTGAGCTACAGGACTCCACACCAGCAGTACAACAACAACAGCCAAATTACATGTGAATAGCGCCTTTCACGACGGGAGGACGTACCGAGCTGCTGGAAAGTCAGTGTTTCGGGCCTGAGCTGGGGGGCGGGGGAGGGAGAAGGAGGGTGGTTAAAAAGTACAGTCGACGAGGAGGGTCTTGAAGCAGTCAAGGGAGGGGGCGAGACGGAGGGACTGCGGGATGGAGTTACAGAGGGTGGGGGCAGAGTGGCTGAAGGCCTGCTGAACGCTAACACTATCTTAGTCTCTCCCTTTCTAAAAAGTAATCTGCTTTACTGTTTTCGCCACCTGGGTGGATAACTTCACACTTCCCTACATTATACTTCATCTGCCACCTATTCGCCCACTCCCTCAGCCTATCTATATAATGTTACACTTTTTTAACGACATCCTCAGTGTTTTCTCTCCCTCCTAGTTTAGTGTCATCCGCGAATTTGGATATATTAAGTTTCATGTCCTCATCTAGATCGTTGATGAAGATTGTAAATAGTTGAGGCCCAAGCACTGATCCTTGTGGCACTCCACTAGTCACATCCCGCCAATCTGAGAAGGACCCGTTTATCCCTAATTTTTGCTTTCTTCAAGGAGTTTGCATAGTCAAGCCTGGATATCATGAATGCGTGGACGAGGGTCTTGGCAGCCTGCGGTGTGAGACAGCGGCAGAACTGGGCAATGTTGCGGAGGTGGGGCAATGCAGAGTGAGTCATGGCACGGATGTAGGATAGAAAGGATAATTGAGGGTCAAACATGAGGCCAAGGTTCCGGACTGGCTAAGTAAGGTGTAGTGTGCATCAATAAATGGTGATGCTGTCAGTGCCTGAGGTGTGGAGCCGCTGACCAGAGACAATATGAAGGGTCATGGTCTTCTTGACGTTCAACTGAAGTTAGTTCTTACCCAGGACATGTTTCTATCAGGAAAGCAGTGGTCCTGAAATCAAGAGTAGCGGCAGAGAGGCACAACTGGGTGTCAAGAGTAAAGAGCTCTGGGCTGCGTCTCTGCAGTGACATTTCACAACCAACAATGTTTAATTTGGGATCCAGGTGAATGTGAGATTATTCTGAGAATAGGAGACACGTACCTGGGCTGATGCTGTGTATCATGTCTCTCCAGGCCGTGTAATGTACAGGACCCTTGTATATCCCCACAGGCAGATCACCCTCAGATAATGACAGTTTAAAATCTTCAGCACTGATCCTAAAATAAGAGACGTTCACATTATAAAGTGGAACTACATTGTGTTTGGTTTATGTATTCAATTCTGGGGTTAATTTGTGAAGAACATTGCATACCTTCTCTTCCGAGCAGTTTCCCCCTAATGAAATAAAACACAGACAGATCTGAGCTCACACTGAGACTCGACATTGTAAACTCAGATACACAGAATTCCACAGCAGCAAAGTCTCTATCAGATTATACCAAATAATCAATAAAATCACTGGGCTGTTTAACAGTCAGACTTTGATTTTCTGCTCCAGACTCTAATTTTTACTGAACTATAATCTCTTTACCTGCAGAAAGGTGAGCGCGTCTTTTTCCGTCTGTTTCTGTAACACTGAGAGCTTTTGCTGAACAGAAGTTAAATGGTCCTGAATCTCTCGCAGATTTTTCTCCATTCGGGTAAAACCTCCTCCTCTCGCTGTCTGAGCTCTCGGATCACACGCTGCTCTCTGTCAGTGAGGCTCTGGTGCATTTTAGCAAACTCAGCCGTGATGTGGTTCTCCAGACTGTCCGCCTGTTGCTGCAAAATGCGGCGTCAGACATCACACGGCGCACAGTAAAGAGAGACACACGACTGAGAGCCCAGACATCAGCCCCGACACAACTTACCTTCGCTTGTGAAATCTTTTCTTTCTGTTTCCCTTCAGCTTCCAGAGCCGCGGCCTTCCTCTGTGTGAGAGAAGCTAAGGAGGGTTTCACTTTATCCTGGAATTAAATAGAAAATGAGAAAAATCTTGATTAACCGAACAGAGAATTAGATCCGACTGAGCCCGATTGACAGTCTGGTGCCTTTTACCTTAAAGATCTGAGCCGCCTCCTGTATGGGGAGGAAGCTGTGGTGTCTGTGTTCTCGGGCGTCTCTGCAAACCAGGCAGATCAGTTTCTTGTCTGTTTCACAGTACAGCTTCAGTTCCTGCTGATGCTCCTCACAGTAAAGTCTTCTTTCTGTCTCGTCTGTGCTCATCTGTCGAGCTATCGCTGCCATGCTCGCCAGGGCCCAGTTGCCACTCAGTCTACTCTTGGCAAAGACTGTTCTGCATTCGGGACAGGCTTTGCTCTCCTTCTTTTCCCAGCTCCCTGAGATGCAGGAGCGGCAGAAGTTGTGGCCGCACTCCAGGGTAACCGGGTCAGTAAAGAGATCCAGACACACCGAACAATTTAAGTCATCGGTCAGATTCTCTGTTATTGGAAGCTGTGGTCCCCAGGAAGCCATGGTCACCTCGCAGCCCCCCCGGGTTACACACCTTTCAGTCTCAGGGTTTCTCAGCTGTGCGTGTGTGTGTGCGTGTGTCCTGCCCTGGACACCACTCCTTCACCGCGATCACTTTCACCTTTGGAACCATCGTGGTGAAGGTAGTTGGAAACACCACAGAGATTGAGGAAACGGAGCAAAGTTTATTCTAAAAACAACCCTGAAGTGCTGAGGAGGCAGAGTGAGGATTAGATAAGAAACCTGGAAAATATTGACAATGATCTGCGCGTTTGATGTTGCGTTAGGATATCTCCTAAGCGCCTCACGGGAGTTTACTGCGCATTCTGAGACGTTAAACTGAGGTCCAGTGCCCAGGTGGACATTCAGAGAAAGATGGGCGTTCAGGCCAGCAATGCAAAATGCAATCGATCATTCACTTCAAGGTTCTTTGCGGGACATTGCTATGTGTCAATTGCCTCTGTGTCCAATACATACACAGTCTCTGCACTTCACAGTAAAATCCCGTCAAGTGCATTGAGATATCCTCCTGACACGAAAGGTGCCATTTTAAATTATTACTAGTTTCGCGCCGATAAGATTTTGTATTTTTATGTAAACTGGACCGAGTTTTAACATCTCATCTGAAGGATGGCACCTCTTGACAATCCAAGCTCCCCCCCACCCCCCACCCCCGGCACTGTGCAGGATTGTCAGCCCAGACTGTGAGCTCAAATCCCTGATGTGATCTCAGACTGTAAACCACCTCCTCACAAAACCAAACCTGGGAGTGGTTTGCACCTGGAAATATGGCCTCAAGACATGGGGCTCAGAATTGTGGGCATCAGCCCCACTGCGCAGGAGCTGTTCCTCTCCCTAAATGCATAACCAGGAGGTGAAAATCTCAAAATCTCTTGCTTCTCATTTCTCTGGATCTAGCGAACCGTGTCACTGTTAACTGCTCCGAGACACTGCCCTACGTGAAGGGCACTATATACATACAAGTTGTTGTGCGGTTGTCTCTGCAACTGGCAAGTTGATTATAACAGGCATCAAATGAAGGAACCTTATAATAATAATAATAATAATCCGTGCATTTGATATCACGCATTTCACATTTTCAAGACATCTCAAAGCGCTTTACAGAGTATATTGTAAAGTGTAGTGACTGTATATTTGTGGGAGGAATGGGCAGCCAATTGTGCACAGCAGTGTCCCACAAACAGTCATGGATTTGAATGACCAAATATTTTTGAGCGTTTGTTATTCCCAGACAAGCAATTGACTAACAACCAGGTTCCTGTGTGTGTGGAGTAAGGAAACTTGCCCAACATTTCACTCCGACTGGGAAATCCCGCTCTCTCACTCGCGACTGCTCTGACCACTGAGCTACAGTACAACTTGGGAGGAGAGGGAAGAAGAGAGACAAAGCTATCACTCAGTAAGAGGGAGAGTAGGAAATGGAGCGATAGAGAGAGAGAGAGAGAGAGAGAGATGGAATTTGTCAGATGCGACTCAGAGATAGGAATGGATGGAGGGAAGGAGAAAAAAAAGATACAGAGGTCACTCAGAGAGTGAGAGAGGGGTGGAGAGGATCGAGTGTAAGAGATGTTTGAAGGGAACGAAGAGAGACAGAGATATAGATGTCACTCAGACACTAAGAGACAAATGTATAAACGACAAATGCTATCTTGCTGTCTTGTAAGAGACAGAGATGGAGCGAGTGTGAGCGGAAGCAAGATGGAGCGACAAAAAGAGAGATACAGATGTCACTCAGTGAAGACATCTAGCAGGTGTGTTTCAGCTGTTTTCCTGCATTGTTTTTCTTCTCTTTTACTTTCTTCTAACTTTGCTGAAATCGCCGGAACGCTCAAGGGCGAATGAGTGGCTTAAGTCGCGAGCGAGGGAAATAAAAGGCGTTCTCGCTCTCACCACCTCAGTCCCAACAACACAGTGACCAATTCTAACTGAACAAAGTATACCTTCGCTCCAGCTCTTTTATCGTTGTCTCTTTTTAACACCAAAGATGGATGTCCTGAGGAATCTGTGTCCTCACAAGTCCTGATAGCGATTTACAGGCTGGCGTAAAAAAACTGGGGCCATCCTTGGATACAATAGCCATCACTCTAAGCTGATATAGATTAAAACAGTGCGATTACATTTTATCTAAAATTATACCATGTAACATACACAAAGTCTACAATTTAGTTGAATCCGGTTAGCCACGTGATAGACATCTATCACCTGATCAATCAACCATTTAATTATCGAGATTGTTATTCCACGGGTTAGCTAACAAACATAAACATTCCTAATTGAATTAAACAACAAAGTTATGCTTGTATTGCGCCCTTCGCGTCGGAAAGACATCCCAGGGCGCTGGATAATCAAGCAGGGAGTTGGATCAGGAAGGATGGAGGGTGGGGGTCGGAGGGTGGTCGGAGACACAGTTAAAGAGGAAGGTCTTAAACGGAACTCGAAGGTGGGACAAAATAATAGTTTAAGCAATAACATACTTCTAATTCCAACATTCATTCTTGTTTGATGTTGTATCACACTCTTTATTGTGCGAAAAGTTGACACATTGGGTACAATCCGGACACAAACCAATAGAAACCTGATCTCAACGGGGAGCCCCGCACCCAGAGACCCGCCCGGTCTGGCCACAGCCCATTCCCGCTCTGGTGCTGCAGGAGGGGCTCTGTCCTGAAGGGGCAAAGGTTTAAACGCAGACAAACCAACACCGTCTACAGATCAGAGAGCCGGTCCCGTGGAGATGTCACTGGGACACACACGGGTTAGAGTGGGAATGAGGGGGGGATCGAGAGAGAGATCTCAGTGTGTCTGAGAGACAGGAAAGCTCCAGCTGTGACCTCGATGGTTCTGTGTATTTGGTATAAACTCTCCTCGCGCTCAGTGCAAAGCCCCTGTAGTGTTAGTGGCCGGGCTGGTCTGTGGTGAGGTGATGGCTCTGTAACTCGTCGTGTGTCCGCCTCTGGCCTTACAGGATTTCTATGGACCCACAGAGCTCAGCATCTTCTTCAGGAATCCCCCCCCACTCCCAACAACCAGCTCCGACCCCGTATTCCTTTAAACAACCGACGGTGAATCACATGGAACTGCGGTAAAACCACGTCACTGTTAATATGTTACAACTGGCAGATTGTCAGAGGTTCCGAGTTTTTCCCGCCATCATTAAACCAGGGACTGAAGAGAGGATAAAGTTTCTCAGTGAAAGTGTCAGTGAAAGTGTGGAGACGAGACATGTTGTCAGCGTTGTAAAATGACACCTGTCCCCCCTCATAGTCCAGGTACACTCCGAGCTTCCCGGGTCTCACTGTCAGGGGCAGGCGGGTGGGAGGTGAGGTCAGAGCCTTATAATCCCCATCCCACAGCCATACCCCCCAGACCCCACCCTCTGTTGACCAAGTGATCTCTCCTTTCCTGTTGACAGACTCTCTGGCCACTCCCACAATCCACGCAGTCTTGTTGCCCACCTGCACCTCCCAGTAATGTCTCCCTGATGTGAAGCCCTCAGATGCTAGGATGGTGGGATGGTAACTAAACCTCTTTGGGGTGTCAGGGAGCGGCTGGCATTTGTCTCCGTGTCTTACACTGGTCAGGTCTTCAGACAGGATGAGCTGAGGATGGGCTGTGGCTGGATCCAGAGTCAGAGCGGCCGGAGCTGAGAGAGAGAGAAAAATAATACAAAGTGGGTGAAAGGGGGTCATGAAGCAGGGGGTTCTCTACTGGCTCCGAGACGCCTTCCAGCATGGTACTACAAGAGTAAAGAGCCCTGGGCTGTGTCCCTGCAGTGACATTTCATGACCAAAAATGTTTAGTTTGTTAGGATCCAGGTGACTGTCAGACTATTCACACAACTTCATTCTGAGAATGGGAGCCATGTACCTGGGCTGATGCTGTGTCTCATGTCTCTCCAGGCTGTGTACTGTAGAGGCCCTTTGTATATCCCCATAGGGAGATCACCTTCAGATAATGACAGCAAAAAATTATCCTCACTGACCCTGAAATAAAGACGTTCACATTATAAAGTGACACTACACATTGTGTTTGGTTTGTGTAGTAAATTCTGGGGATATTTTGTGAAGAACATTTCATACCTTCTCTTCCGAGCAGCTTCCTCCTAATGAAATAAAACACAGACAGATCTGAGCTCACACTGAGACACCACATTGTAAATGATAATAATTCTTGCATTTTATATAGCGTCTTATCATGTCTCCAAGATATCTCAAAGCACTTTACTGTAGTAAAGTGTGGTGACTATTATTTTGTGGACGAAACATGCACAGCACTATCCCACAAATAGTCACGGATTGATTGACCAATTTATAATCTTTTTAAAGGGAATATATCTTTTTAAAGAGATTCGATCCGCGAATCGACTTACTGCTTGGTAAACTTGCCCAACATTTCGTTCTGCCGGGAATCCAACCCAGGTCTCTCGCTTGTGAGGCGTAGGCTCTAACCACTATGCTACAACCACTAGGTCTCCAATACAAGTCAGATACAGAGACTATCGCAGCAGAATCATCATTAGAATATAGTCTAAACAACAATGTCTGTGTGTTTGTTTGTCTGTGGTGTCTGTTTACTTCATTGGTAAGGTCTCGCAGCTGACAGTGTCATGGGCATATTGTTGTGGGCGGATCTCCTATCGTTGATGAGCTATATTAAAAAAATGCTTTAATTAAAATATGAGGTATCCATTGTATTCAACAACTAAGTAAACACAGAGGAAAGCATACACTGTTCAGATAGACACATCTATATTCTGTAACAAATATATGTCAGTTTCTGGTTGTCCTCCCATGTGGGAGATAGATAAAGTGAGAAAGAGAGAGACTGAGATAGTGAGAGTCACACACAGAGAGAGAGAGAGACAGAGAGAATATATAAAGTGTAGTGAATGTGTACTTTATGGTAGAGACTGAGAGAGACAGAGAGAAAGACTGGAGAGGGGGAGAGAGAGAGACAGAGAGAAAGACAGACAGAAAGAATAAGAAAGACTTTGAGAGAGAGTCAGAGACTGTAAGAGAAAATATATTAAAGGAGTCCTTCCACAAGGAGTATAAAGACAAAATGTGTGCCTATCTCTCCATATTGGATCAAGCGAACCAGCAACGGGTACAGCTCGTAATCAATAAAATCACGGGACTGCTTAACAGTCAGACTTTGACTTTCTGCTCCAGACTGTGTGTAACTTTTACGGAACTAAATTATAATTTCATCTCTTTACCTGCAGAAAGGAGAGAGTGTCTTTTTCCATCTGTTTCTGTAACTCTGACAGTTTTTGCTCAACAGAAGCTAATTTGCCCCGAATCTCTTGCAGATTTTTCTCCATTCGATGCAAAACCTCCTCCTCTCGCTGTCTGAGCTCTCGGATTACACGCTGCTCTCTGTCAGTGAGGCTCTGGTGCATTTTAGCAAACTCAGCCATGACGTGGTTCTCCAGACTGTCCGCCTGTTCCTGCAAAATGAATTGTCAACATCACACTGCGCACAGTAAAGAGAGAAACACGACTGAGAGCCCAGACATCAGCCCCGACACAACTTACCTTCACTTGTGAAATCTTTTCTTTCTGTTTCCCTTCAGCTTCGAGAGCCGCGGCCTTCCTCTGTGTGAGAGAAGCTAAGGAGGAGTTCACTTTATCCTGGAATTAAATAGAAACTGTGAGAAAAAATCTTGTTTTAACGGAGGATTCGATCGTACTTATCACAATTGACAGTCTGGTGCCTTTCACCTTATAGATCTGAACAGCCTCCGCTACGGGGATGAAGCTGTGGTGTCTGTGTTCTCGGGCGTCTCTGCAAACCACACACATCAGTTTCTTGTCTGTTTCACAGAACAGCTTCAGTTCCTCCTGATGCTCCTCACAGCGAGGTTTTCTTTCTGCCTTCACCGGGGCTATGTTGAGCCGTCGAGCTTTCTCCGCCAGCCTCGCCAGGGCCCAGTTGCCCCTCATGCTACTGTTGGCAAAGACGGTTCTGCACTCGGGACAGGCTTTGCTCTCCTTCGTTTCCCAGCTCTGTGAGATACAGCAGCGGCAGAAGTTGTGGCCGCAATCCAGGGTGACCGGGTCGGTAAAGAGATCCAGGCAAACCGGACAAACTAAGTCCTCGCTCAGACTGTGCTGTCTGGAAGCCATGGTCAACCTCGCAGCCCCTCCGGTCGCACCGCTCCGTCTCAGGCTTTCCGTGCTGTGTGCGTGTGTCCCGCCCCTGGACTCCGCTCCTTCACTGCTGGTTCAGCTCGATCGCCGCTTTCACCTTTGGAACCGCCACGGTGTAGATTGTGTGTGGGGGGGGGATAGGGCGCCGCAGAGATTGCGGGAAAGTTTATTCTAGCGTCCTGTGGCTCGGCGGTTAGAGCACTCGCTTTGCGAGCGAGAGACCTGAGTTCAATTCCCGGCAGAGGGCCAAACCTCGGGCAAGTTTCCTTACTCCACACAGAGCCTCTAATAATAATCCCTTCCTCCAAAACCCCCAAAAACAATAATAAATCGGTCATTTTCAATCCACGACCGTCTGCGGGACATCGCTGTGCGCCATCGGCCGCCGCGTTCGCCCACAACTATACAGTCAGTTCGCTTTACAGTGCGTTCTGTGAAGCGCTTTGGGACGTCCTCTCCCGACGTGAAAAGCGCTATGTCAAGTGCGAGGATTATTATTATTATTATTATTATTATTATTACAGACGCGTCGGGACGAACCTCTGCAAAGACTGAGCTCCAGGGCCTCTCTCTCCATCTCTCTGGGCTTCTCCCTCTGACCTGCTGCTGTCTCTGGGCTTCAGGCCTCGTCCCCCTCGTCGCTCCCTCCCCTCCTTTAGAGGGGGTCGTCGTCGTTGCCGCCGCCGCCGCCGCCGGAAAGCGGAGCGAGAGGCGCGAGCGAGCGCCGACCGTTAGGCGCCAAGGACCACGTGGGAGAGAGGGAGGGGGGGGGAGGACCTGCGCTTGCGCGGTGGCGACCGATCCCCCTTATATGGTCGGACCACGTGCTGAGGAGCCTCGCGGGCGGCCAATGGGCGTCCGTCCAACAGGGCGGGAGGGAGGCACGCGTGACGAGGTGAGAGCACGTGATGAGGGCGCGCGCGGCAAGAGATAGGGGCGCGGCGAGGGAGGGACGTGCGCAAAGGAGCGGCTCTCACGACTGTGAGGCGCCGAGGAGCGCGCGGAGCCCCGGCTCGAGGCGGGAGCGGCGCCTGCGCGGTGGCGGCCGAGGCCCCGTCTGGGGTGAGACCACGTGCTGAGGAGCCCCAATGGGGGCGACCAATGGGTGACGCGGCGGGAGCCCACGTGATGAGCGGGAGTGGGCGGGAGACAGAGAGGCGCGAGCGGCGACCGTTACAGCTCGAGCTTCACATCCCCCCCACAGGGACAGTTAGAGAGGAGACCCCCCCACAGGGACAGTTAGAGAGGAGACCCCCCCACAGGGACAGTTAGAGAGGAGACCCCCCCCACAGGGACAGTTAGAGAGGAGACCCCCCCCCCACAGGGACAGTTAGAGAGGAGACCCCCCCCACAGGGACAGTTAGAGAGGAGACCCCCCCCCACAGGGACAGTTAGAGAGGAGACCCCCCCCACAGGGACAGTTAGAGAGGAGACCCCCCCCCCACAGGGACAGTTAGAGAGGAGACCCCCCCCCATAGGGACAGTTAGAGAGGAGACCCCCCACAGGGACAGTTAGAGAGGAGACCCCCCCCACAGGGACAGTTAGAGAGGAGATCCCCCCCACAGGGACAGTTAGAGAGGAGACCCCCCCCACAGGGACAGTTAGAGAGGAGACCCCCTCCACAGGGACAGTTAGAGAGGAGACCCCCCACAGGGACAGATAGAGAGGAGACCCCCCCCACAGGGACAGTTAGAGAGGAGACCCCCCCCACAGGGACAGTCAGAGTGAGGAGAGGAGCCCCCGACGCGGGGCTGGAACCCGCGACCCCCTGACTCAGAGGTAAGAGCCTCCGCCCGAGCCGGGCCGCCTGACGGCTCACAGCGAGACCCCCCATCGGCCGTGTCCGGCCACAGGGACCGACGCCGATTCGGCGTCGAATCGAAATGATAAATACTTATCATTTTCCCGTAACAATTTATCTTAAGTTACACCAACCAAACCCTGTAACGTACCAAGGTATAGTTATGCTGATTCCGATGAGGCATGTGATGGGCAACGTTCACCTGAGCAAACAACCAATTTATTATGAAGCTTGACAATCCCCCGGTTAGCTAACAAACGTAAGCATTTCCAGCTGAACCCAAATAATAGCTTAACGTATTTCCGATTCCAACATTATGGATTGACGTTGTATCGAACATTTTATTTTGAGCAAAGTTGACGCGTTGGTTACAATCCGGACCCAAAACCAATAGAAACCTGATGTCAACAGGGAGCCCCGCACCCAGAGACCCGCCCGGTCTGGCCACGGCCCATACCCGCTCTGGTGCTGCAGGAGGGGGCTCTATCCTGAAGGGGCAAAACATCTACAGATCAGAGATCTGGTCCCGTGGAGATATCACTGGGACTTGGGTTAAAGTGGGTTAGACAGAAGGCAGTGAATCACATGGAAATTGATCACTGTTAATGTGTTATAACCGGCAGATTCTCAGTTGCGCCGAGTTTTTCCCATCGTAATCATTACAGGGACCAAAGAGAGGATAAAGTTTCTCAGTGAATATTTGGGTGAAAGTGTGGAGATGAGACATGTTGTCAGCGTTGTAAAATGACACCTGTCCCCCCTCATAGTCCAGGTACACCCCGATCTTCCCGGGTCTCACTGTCAGGGGCAGGCGGGTGGGAGGTGAGGTCAGAGCTTCATAGACCCGGCCCCACAGCCACACACCCCAGACCCCACCCTCTGTTGACCACGTGATTGGTTGTTTCCTGTTGACAGACTCTCTGGTCACTCCCACAGTCCACGCAGTCTTGTTGCCCACCTGCACTTCCCAGTAATGTCTCCCTGATGTGAAGCCCTCAGATCCCAGGACAATGAGAGATATAGTAAACCTCTTTGGGGTGTCAGGGACCGGCTGCCATTCGTCTCCATCTCTCACACTGGTCAGGTCCTCAGACACGATGAGCGAGGGATGGGCTGTGTCAGGATCCAGAGTCAGGGCGGCCGGAGCTGAGAGAGAGAGAGAGAAAAATAACATAAAGTGTAGTGAGACACTTGTCACCTCCCACCTGGATTACTCAAACACTCTCCATGCCGGTTTCCCCAGCGCCACTGTTCAAAAATCCCGATCATTCAGAACTTTGCCCTCCACCTGGACCACACTCCGAACCCCCTTCTCACCATTTCTGGCCAGGCTCCACTGGCACCCTATCATCGAGTAGATCATCTTCAAGATCCTCACGCTCATGTTCAAATCCTTTCACTCCCTAATTCCTCCCTACCTCTCCGATCCCCTCACTCCCCAAACCACCACCCAGCGCCTCCTCTCGACTGGCACTGGCCCTACTGCTCATCCCTTCCGCCATTGAAGGTCTACGCCTCAAACCTCTGGTAAACTCTCCCCCGATCTCTGCACCTTGCTCCCTCTTTTTCCCTTTTTTAAGTCCTGCTTTAAAACCTTCCTCTTCGACCACGCTAATGGTCCAACACCCCAGCTCAGAGTCAGGCTCCGCCACTGTTAAGCGCTCTGAGACTCTAACTTGCATGGAAGTCACTACGTAAGTGCAAGTTGTTGTAAAAAGCACGGATTGTGTACCACTGCTAGGCTGCCAGCAAAGGGCACCAGTGACTGGAGTCGCTGTTGGTGAACATGGTACTGTAAGAGTAAAGTAAGAGTAAAGAACCCTGGGGTGACATTTCCTTTCTAACAATGTTTAATTTGTTAGGATCCAGATGAATGTGAGACTATTCACGTACCTTCCGTCTGAGAATAGGAGACATTTACCTGGGCTGATAATGTCCAGCACCTCTCTCCAGGCTGTGTACTGTACAAGTCCTTTGCACATCCCCACAGGCAGATCCCCCTCAGATAAAGACAGTTTAAAATCCTCATCACTGATCCTGAAATAAGAGACGCTCACATTATAAAGTGAAACTACACATTGTGTTTCATTTGTGAATTAAATTCTGGGGATATTTTGTGAAGATCATTTCGTACCTTCTCTTCCGAACAGCTTCCTCCTAATGAAATAAAACACAGACAGATCTGAGCTCACACTGAGACGTTACATTGTAAATTCAGAATACACAGAATAGAATTCTACAGCAGTAAGGATTACTATTATTATTATGTAACACCGTTCCCACCACGGACATCTCCCCAAAGCGCAGAGTGAGTTCTGCTTCCAGACGCGCACTCACACTCAATAACTCCAATAACTTTATATTTATATTGATATAAATGTAACAAAACATCGATATCATTAAAGATTAAATTAAACACAGCTACAAATCAAAACAGTTATAAATGTTAATATCAACAGTAACGGAAGCGAATATAAATATAAATAACTGACAAGAACTTTAATCCCAGGATAACCACGGCTGAAGTGTCCCTGGCTGTTGGCTTTGCGGGGACACTGCAGGCCTTGGGAGTGACTGATGTGGGTTTACTTCTATTCTGAGTGGCAGCAGCAGAGTCACTATCAGATTATACCAAATAATCAATAAAATCACTGCGCTGTTTAACAGTCAGACTTTGACTTTCTTCTCCAGACTGTGTGTAACTTTCACTGAACTAAATTGTAATTTCATCTTTACCTGCAGAAAAGTGAGAGCGTCTTTTTCCATCTGATTCTGTAACTCTGAGAGCTTTTTCTGAACAGAAGCTAAATTGTCCTGAATCTGTCGCAGATTTTTCTTCATTCGTTGCAATATCTCCTCCTCTCGCTTTCTGAGCTCTCGGATTACACGCTGCTCCCTGTCGGTGAGGCTCTGGTGCATTTTAGCAAACTCGGCCGTGACATTGTTCGCCAGACTGCTTGCCTGTTTCTGTAAAATAAGGCGTCAGCCATCACACTACACTGCGCACAGTAAAGAGAGACACACGACTGAGAGCCCAGACATCAGCCCCGACACAACTCACCTTAACTTGTGAAATCTTTTCTTTCTGTTTAACTTCAGCTTCTAGAGCAGTGGCCTTCCTCTGTGTGAGAGAGTCTAAGGAGGGTTTCACTTTATCCTGGAATTAATAAAAACAATATTAATTCTTGCATTTGATATAGTGCCTAATCACATCTTTAAGACGTCTCACAGTGCTTCACAGAATATACCGTTAAAGTGAGTTGACTATATTTTGTGGGAGAAAAGCGGCAGCCGAATGCACGCAGTGTCCCACAAACATTCGTGGATTGAGTGAACATTTTAAAAATTATTTTGAAGGAATTATTTCCCCAGAAAAGCGATCTACCAATCGCTTACAACTGAGTTCCTACTTACTGCTACGTAAACATAGGAGAGTGGAGTAAGAAATCTTGCCCAACGTTTCCTCCTGCCGGGACTTGAATCCAGATCGCCTTACTTGCGACTTGAGTGGTCTTAACCACTAAACTACAGGACTCCACATTAAATTAAGTCGAATTAAATAGAAACTGAGAAAAGTTTGTTTAAACAGAGAATTAGATCAGACTGAGCTCAATTGACAGTCTGGTGGCCTTTTACCTTATACATCTGAACAGCCTCCTGTATGGGGATGAAGCTGTGGTGTCTGTGTTCTCGGGCGTCTCTGCAAACCAGACACATCAGTTTCTTGTCTGTCTCACAGAACAGCTCCAGTTCCTCCTGATGCTCCTCACAGTGACGTCTTTCTGTCTCCTCCAGGGCTGCACTCAGCCTTCGAGCTTTCACGGACAGCCTCGCCAGGGTCCAGTTGCCCCTCATGCAAATGTTGGCAAAGACTGTGCTGCATTCGGGACAGGCTTTGCTCTCCTTATTTTCCCAGCGCTGTGAGATACAGGAGCGGCAGAAGTTGTGGCCACAATCCAGGGTGACCGGGTTGGTAAAGAGATGCAGACAAATCGAACAAATCAAGTCCTTGGTCAGACTCTGGTGTCTGGAAGCCATGGTCACCTCTCAGCTCCCTTGGTCACACCTTTCAGTCTCAGGGTTTCCGTGCTGTGTGTGTGTGTGTCCCGCCCTGGACACTCCTTCACTGCCGATCACCTCGATCACTTTCACCTTTGGAGCCTCCGTGGTGAAGATTGTGGGGGAAGCGACACAGAGGAAACAGAGCAAAGTTCATTCTGAACGCAGCCCTAAAGTGCCGAGGAGGCATAAGATAAACCTGGAAAATATTAACAATAATCTAAGCGTTTGATATTGTTTTCTGGACGTCTCAAAGCGCCTCATAGGTACTTACTTACTTACCTCCCTCCACACTGCAGGTCATTCAGAACTCTGCAGCTCGTGTACTGTCCCGCACCAGACACCGCGACCACATCACTCCCACCCTCGCTCGCCTCCACTGGCTCCCCATCCCCCAGAGGATTGATTTCAAGATCCTCATCCTCACCTACAAGGCCATTCACGGCCTCGCTCCCTCCTACCTCTCCGACCTACTATCCCCCTACGTACCTGCCCGTACCCTCCGTTCCTCTGGCTCCAGTCTGCTCCACATCCCCCGCCCCAACCGCCCTACCATCGGTGGTCGGGTCTTCAGCCTCTCAGCCCCGAGGCTCTGGAACTCTATCCCCCAGTGCCTTCGCCGCTTCCTCCCTTTCCTCCTTCAAGGCCGGTCTCAAAACCTTTCTCTTTGACCGAGCCTTCAGGTCCCCTCTCGACTCTCTACCCCCTCCTCGCTCCCTCCCTTCCCTCCCCTCACCCTGACCATTTCCCCCCTCCTCGCTCCCTCCCTTCCCTCCCCTCACCCTGACCATTTCCCCCTCCTCGCTCCCTCCCTTCCCTCCCCTCACCCTGACCATTTCCCCCCTCCTCGCTCCCTCCCTTCCCTCCCCTCACCCTGACTATTTCCCCCCTCCTCGCCCCCTCCCTTCCCTCCCCTCACCCTGACCATTTCCCCCCTCCTCGCTCCCTCCCTTCCCTCCCCTCACCCTGACCATTTCCCCCCTCCTCGCTCCCTCCCTTCCCTCCCCTCACCCTGACTATTTCCCCCCTCCTCGCTCCCTCCCTTCCCTCCCCTCACCCTGACCATTTCCCCCCTCCTCGCTCCCTCCCTTCCCTCCCCTCACCCTGACCATTTCCCCCCTCCTCGCTCCCTCCCTTCCCTCCCCTCACCCTGACCATTTCCCCCCTCCTCGCTCCCTCCCTTCCCTCCCCTCACCCTGACCATTTCCCCCCTCCTCGCCCCCTCCCTTCCCTCCCCTCCCCCTGACCATTTCCCCCCCAATGCTCGGGTCCTGACCCAACTGTGCAGCGCCTCGGGACGTCCTCCTGACGTGAAAGGCGCTTTATAAATGGAATCTTGTTGTTGTTGTTGTTGTTGCTGTTGAATGTCGTAACTGTGTATTTTGCGACATTGAACTGAGGTCCGGTGTTCCTGTCCAGGTGGACATGAACAATAAGATGGGAGCTCAGGCTGGCAGTCCCCCAGGTATAATGGATCAATCACTTCAAAGTTCTTTATGGGACATTGATATGTGTAAATTGCCTCTGTGTTCACGTGCAGTACACACAGTCGCTCCGCTTCGCAGTAAAATCCGGCTTCGGGATATCTTCTTCCCGACATGAGAGCTGCCATCTCAGGTTCAAGGATTATTATCAGTTTTGTTATGAGAGGTTTCATATTTATCTTTTTATATAAACTGAACTGACGTTTAACATCTCATCTGAAGTTCTTGCCCCTTCCCCCAGCACCGTGCCTTTCCCCCAGCACCGTGCCACCCCCCCACCCCCAGAACCATGCCACTCCCCCCAGGACCGTGCCACTCCGCCCAGCACTCTGGCCCTCCCCCCAGCACTCTGCCCCTCCCCCCCAGCACTCTGCCCCTCCCCCCAGCACTGTGCCCCTCCCCCCAGCACTCTGCCCCTCCCCCCAGCACTCTGCCCCTCCCCCCAGCACTCTGCCCCTCCCCCCAGCACTCTGCCCCTCCCCCCAGCACTCTGCCCCTCCCCCCCAGCACTCTGCCCCTCCCCCCAGCACCGTACCCCTCCCCCAGCACTGTACCCCTCCCCATCACAGTGCCCCTCCCCCCAGCACTGTGCCCCTCCCCCCAGCACTGTGCCCCTCGCCCCCAGCACTGTGCCCCTCCCCCCAGCACTGTGCCCCTCCCCCCAGTCCTGTGCCCCTCCCCCCCAACACTGTGGCTCTCCCCCCAGCAATGTGCCCCTCCCCCCAGCACTGTGCCCTTCCCCCAGCACCGTGCCCCTCCCCCAGCACTGTGCCCCTCCCCATCACTGTGCCCCTCCCCCCAGCACCGTACCCCTCCCCCCAGCACCGTGCCCCTCCCCCAGCACCGTGCCCCTCCCCCAGCACCGTGCCCCTCCCCCAGCACCATGCCCCTCCCCCCAGCACTATGCCCCTCCCCCCAGTACTGTGACCCTCCCCCTAGAATTGTGCACCTCCCACCAGCACTGTGCCCCTCTCCCCAGCACCGTGCCACCTGCACCTCCCAGTAATGTGGGGTTGCCATGAGGAGCCCTCCCATTTCCAGGGGTCAGTTAGAGAGAGAGGAGAGGAGCCCCCCCCCCCCCCCCCCAGAGCTACACTGGAGGGTCAGACTGGAGGATCAGCTCCAAGAGCCCCCAACGCGGGGCTGGAACCCACAACTCACTGACTCAGAGGTAAAAGCCTCCGCCGGAGCCGGGCCGCCTGACGTCTTACAGTGAAACTCACATCAGTCGTGTCAGGCCAGAGGGACCTTCAGGTTTAATGAGACTGACGCAAAATATGAATTACAGGCAGAATTACAACAATATTAATCCTTGCCTTATCACACCATCGAGACATCTCAAAGCACTTGACAAGATATACTGTAAAGTGTAGTGACTGTGTAGTTTCTGGGCGAAGGAGCACAGGCTCCAAATGTGAAGGTGCAAAACTGAACTCACATCAGTTGCTCCCAGTGTAGAGTGTAGAATTATTAAAACAGCTAACTGCATAATGAGCTTAACTACAGAATATTTTAGGGTGTTTGGGGGTAAATCCTAGTTCAACCACCTAAAACTGCACAGCTCGTCAGCAACGCCCTGGAGTACCGTGGCTCTCGTCCTGGCTCAGGACTAGAGACAGCCACAGAGGATGGACTCCATGTTTGACGCCGACATTCAGTTGCTGAGCATCTGCCAACCGAAACTCGTGAAAGATGCAAACCACTGAGAGATTTCGGAGAGTATTTGGGATGGGCTGGTGAGAGCCGAGGCTTGGGGTGGGGGCAGTTGACGCCAAAGTATGAGTCTGAGGGGTGGCTGCTGGAGTTTAATCAGCTAATAACGCACAGGATGCCATTGGGTGCACTGTGACAAGCTTCTCGCTGATTGTCCAGTGACCAACCCTTGGGGCACTGACTTGCTGGACCGACTGAGAATCCCACAGGCTCGCGATTCCCACATCCTGTTTGTGGGACATTGCTGTGCGCAATTGGCCGCCGCGTTCGCCCACAAATATACAGTCAATTCACTTTACAGTATATTCTGTGAAGCGCTTTGGGACGTCCTCCCGACGTGAAAAGCGCTATATCAAATGCAAGGATTATTATTATTATTATTATCCTGGGATCAGCGATTTGATCTGGATCAAAGCTGGAGTAAACCCAGCTTGTGTATGTTCACCTTGGGAGCCTGCTGGAGAGCACACGAACGTCAACAAGATTACATTTGTGTACATCACCAGCCGGAGTGAAACTGGGAAAAAATCTCCTGGATTGACATTTTATCAAATACTTCACGTTGAGCAAAGTTTACACATTGGGTACAAGCGAGACACAAAGCAGTAGAAACTCCCCATGTGTCCCATCTCCAGCCTTATTGCAGGGTCTCTATGAACCCACAGAGCTCGGCATCTTCTCCCGTCATCTTCCCCCCCACCCCCGGCCGCTCCCACCCCGTATTCCCTTAAGCGACACAGTGAATCACATGGAAGCTGAGGTGAAACCACGTCACCGCTAATGTGTTATAACCGGCAGATTCTCAGCGGTTCCGAGTTTTTCCCGCTATAATTATACCAGGGACCGAAGAAAGGATAAAGTTTCTCGGTGAAAGTGTCAGTGAAAGTGTGGAGACGAGACATGTTGTCAGCGTTGTAAAATGACACCTGTCCCTCCTCATAGTCCAGGTACACCCCGATCTTCCCGGGTCTCACTGTCAGGGGCAGGAGGGTGGGAGGGGAGGTCAGAGCCTTATAGACGTTGTCCACCAACCGCACACCCCAAACCCCATCCTCTGGTGACCGTGTGATTGCTTGTTTCCTGTTGACAGACTCTGTGGCCGCTCCCACAGTCCACCCAGTCTTGTTGCCCACCTGCACCTCCCAGTAATGTCTCCCTGATGTGAAGCCCTCAGATCCCAGGACGATGGGATAGTAACTAAACCTCTTCGGGGTGTCAGGGAGCGGCTGCCGTTTGTCTCCGTATCTCACACTGGTCAGGTCCTCAGACAGGATGAGCCGGGGATGGGCTGTGTCAGGATCCAGAGTCAGAGCGGCCGGAGCTGAGAGAGAGAGAGAGAAAAATAACACAAAGCGGAGTGAGGGGATCACGGAGCTGGGGGGGCTGCAACGCGGTAATGCAGTACTACAAGAGTACAGAGCTCTGCGCTGTGTTGCAGTGACGTCTCATCACCAACAACGTTTAGTTTGTTAGGATCAGGTGACTGTCAGATATTCACACTCCTTCAGTCTGAGAGACTCCACGACCACTGCTGTGCTGACAGAATGTCTGTCAGTCATCAAGTCCTCGATGAGAGCTAATTTCAGTCGAAGGTTAACAAGACCGAGGCCCTCCTGATTGGCTCCCGTCAGCGCCTCCGCACCTCAGGTGCTGACAGTGTCACCATCGGTGGTTGACCACTCCACTTACTAAGACAGTCCGGAATCTTGGGGTCTCGTTCGACCCTCAACGACCCCACATTCGCGCCGTGATCTGCCTTCCCCCACCTCCGCAACGTCGCCCGGCTCAGACACTGTCTCACACCGCAGGCCACCCAAACCCTCATCCACCCCTTTATTACATCAAGGCTCGACTACGCAAACTCACTGCTTGTCGGCCTCCGCAGGCTGCAGATCATCCAGAACTCTGCAGCCCATGTCCTCTCCCGCACTAGGATCAGTGACCCTATCACCCCCATCCTCGCCCAACTCCACTGGGCTTCCCATCACACATGAGGATACAGTTAAAGATCCTGGTCCTCACCTTCAAAGCCCTCCACAGTCTTGATTCCCCCCTGCGACCTCCTAACCCCCTACCACCCTGTCCGCTCCCTCTGCTCACTGCATGTCCCCCGCCTTGCTCGCCCCACTATTGGCGGGCAGGCCTTCCACCACTCTGCACCCACCCCGGAGTCCCTCCATCTTGGCCACTCCCTCGTCACCTTCAAGACCCACCTCAAGCTTCTTCCACCGTGCTTTCAATCTCACTGCTTCCCCCCCCCTGCCCTCCCCACTCCACCACCCCGACCCTCAGCTCAGGTCCGTAAATCTATCCAGTGCCTTGGGACGTCCCCCCAACATGAAAGGTCTTATATAAATGTAATGTTGTTGTTGTTGAGAATGGAAAACACGTACCTGGGCTGATACTGTCCATCAACTCTTTCCAGGCTGTGTTCTTCAGCGGCCATTTGAATATCCCCACAGGCAGTTTATCCTCAGATAATGACAGCAGATTTTCATCATCGCTAATCCTGAAATAAGAGACGTTCACATTATAAAGTGAAACTACACATTGTGTTTGGTTTGTGTAGTAAATTCGGGGGATATTTTGTAAAGGACATTTCATACCTTCTCTTCCGAGCCGCTTCCTCCTAATGAAATAAAACACAGACAGATCTGAGCTCACACTGAGACACCACATTGTAAACTCAGATACACAGAATAGAATTCTACAGCACACAGTTTACTGTAATTATTACAAGAATATCAGTCACTCAATTTTATCTCCAGGTTACAGAGTGAGACCTTAAAAACACACCTTCATACTCAGTAACTTACAGATATCACCTGTGGATACGGTCAATAGAACATTAATGCGATTTCACTGTAATTAGAAGGTAAATGATAGAATTCTCACACGGATAAATAAATCTTAATCCCAGAATAACCACAGCTGAATTGTCCCCGGATGTTGGCTTTTGCAGGGAAACTGCAAGCCCAAGGAGTATAACTCATGTGGGTTTAGTTCTGTACTGAGTGACAGCAGCAGAGCCGCTATCAGATTATACCAAATGATCAATAAAATCACTGGGGCTGTTTAACAGTCAGACTGTGACTTTCTGCTCCAGACTGTGTGTAACTTTTACGGAACTAAATTATCATTTCATCTCTTTACCTGCAGAAAGGTGAGAGCGTCTTTTTCCATCTGTTTCTGTAACTCTGAGAGCTTTTGCTGAACAGAAGCTAATTTGTCCTGAATCTGTCGCGGATTTTTCTCCATTCGGTGTAAAACCTCCTCCTCTCGCTGTCTGAGCTCTCGGATTTCACGCTGCTCTCTGTCAGTGAGGCTCTGGTGCATTTTCGCAAACTCAGCCGTGATGTGGTTCTGTTGACTGTCCGCCTGTTCCTGCAAAATGAAGCGTCAGCCATCACACTGCGCACAGTAAAGAGAGAAACACGACTGAGAGCCCAGACATCAGCCCCGACACAACTTACCTTCACTTGTGAAATCTTTTCTTTCTGTTTAACTTGAGCTTCTGCAGCAGTGGCCTTCCTCTGCGTTTATTTCTTTATTTTGAAGGAATTATCACCCCTAGAAAAGCGATCCACCTATCATCTAATAACCGTGGAGTCCTGTAGCTCAGTAGTTAGAGCACTCGCTTTGCAAGCGAGAGACCTGAGTTCAATTCCAGGCAGAGGGCGAAACCTTGGGCAAGTTTCCTTACTCCACACAGAGCCTAATAATAATCCTCCAAAACCAAAAACAATAATAAATTGGTCATTTTCAATCTACGACTGTTTGTGGGACATTGCTGTGCGCAATTGGCTGCCGCGTTCGCCCACAAATATACAGTCAATTCACTTTACAGTGTGTTCTGTGAAGCGCTTTGGGACGTCCTCCCGACGTGAAAAGCGCTATATCAAATGCAAGGATTATTATTATTATTATTATTATTAACCGGGTTCCCACTTACTGCTGGAAGCAGAGGTCTGCGGAGTAAGGAACATACCCAACATTTCGGGAATTGAACCCAGGTCTCTTGCTTGCGAGGGCAGGTACTCTATCCACTGAGCCGCAGTAATCCCACAACAAGACTTTCGGATGCACACAGACAGCAGAATACGGACACGGGTTTCGACCGCAAAGAGGGGAATTTCAACATTTGGGGTATCTTGTAACCCGGAGGGCGATTAATGACTGGAACGGGATGATCAGTCATTAAGAACCCGCTCGATCCTGTGAGGGGAGGACAGTCAGGCAGGTGTCCTGGTGAGATGAGGTCAGATGGACTGATCGGCCTTCTTCAACCAAACCAATCTTGTGATCTTGTGAACAGGCGGCAGATTGCAGGAGGAAGGGAAGACTGAGGGAGATTAGGAGCTGCACTGCCTTCGTGTTGGGAAAGAATGGGTGCGAGAGAAGATTGTGGAATGTGATTTGATCACAACCCGGGATTAGTGACCGGAATGACCTGATAATAATAATAATAATAATAATAATCCTTGCATTTGATATAGCGCTTTTCACGTCGGGAGGACGTCCCAAAGCGCTTCACAGAACACACTGTAAAGTGAATTGACTGTATATTTGTGGGCGAACGCGGCAGCCAATTGCGCACAGCAATGTCCCACAAACAGTCGTGGATTGAAAATGACCAATTTATTATTGTTTTTGGTTTTGGAGGGATTATTATTAGGCTCTGTGTGGAGTAAGGAAACTTGCCCAAGGTTTCGCCCTCTGCCTTATTCATTAGAAATGCAAAATGTACTTCAACTCATTTGAAGAATGAAAGAGGTCAAAGTCAAACAGAAATCATGAAGTGTTAATAGAAAGGACTGTAAGAGTCAAACCCTCCAGCAAAAATATCAGAACTAGTAAACCAGCTCCTTCTTTTTCTTCACTTTATAATAATAATCCTTGCAATTGATATAGCGCCTTATCATGCAGTTTCTTCATTCCTGATGGCGATTTGACCCTTTACTCTGTTACAGTGCTTTCCTTATATGTGAGTCTGACAGTAAATGTTTGCGGGCTATTCAACTAAAGGTGTTGGGGGAAGAGAATTACAGCTGAACCTGATCGTGTCCACTGATCAGGGTGAACGGTGTAGAAGTCTCCTTTCTGATTGTCAAAAGTGATCATTCCTGTCACAGCTGTGTGCAAATTTGCTGCCACATTTGCCTGCAAAATACACAGCCACTACACTTCAACAACAGTCCTGCGCAGTGCTTTGAGACTGCACTCCTCCTGATGTGAGAGGCGCCGTTTCAAATTTAAGGATTGTTATTAATCAATCAGTTTCTACCGTGGACTTTATCACCAGTCGGGAGTGAAACTGGAGGAAAGATCTCTGGGATTGACGTTGTATCAGACGCTTTATTTTGAGCCAAGTTTACACTTTGGGTACAATCCAGACACAAACCAACAGAAAACTGATGTCAACAGGAAACCCTGCGCCCAGGCAACAACTTTCATTTATATAACGTCCGTCACACCACACATCATCTTTGGAGACTGGAAGCTCTTCACCTCCTTCTGAAATCCCCACCAACACCCCCCCACCCACTCCCACCCCGTATTCCCAGAAACCAGAGACAGCGAACCACATGGAAACTGAGGTAAAATGTGTTATAACCGGCAGATTCTCAGCGGCTCTGAGTTTTTCCCACCTTCAATGAAACAGGGACTGAAATAAGGATAAAGTTTCTCAGTGAAAGTGTGGGTGAAAGTGTGGAGATGAGACATGGTGTCAGCGTTGTAAAATGACACCTGTCCCTCCTCGTAGTCCAGGTACACTCCGATCTTCCTGAGTTTCGTGTTCGGGGTTAGGAGGGTACGAGGTGAAGTGGCAGCCTTGTATTCATCCCCGTTTCTCAACCATATAATCCAGTATCCAGCCTCCGGCAACGCCATCTCATTCCCTTTCCTGTTGATGGACTCTCTGACCACTCCCACATCCCACCCAGTCTTGTTGCCCACCTGCACCTCCCAGTAATGTCTCCCCGATGTGAAGCCCTCAGATGTCAGGACGCAGACACAGCAATCAAACCTCTTGGGGCTGTCTGGGAGCTTCTGTCTGTTCCCTCCATCTCTCACTGTGTTCTGGTCCTGGTTCAGGATGAGCCGTGGATGGGCTGTGTTGGGATCCAGAGTCAGTGAGGCCGGAACTAGGAAAGATCAAAAAAAACACTATAATCTTAACAACAGATATATCAGCTTTTAGTGTGCTGAGGAAGTCTCAAAGTGCTTCACATGATTTAATATATAATGTAGTAGAGTCCTGCAGCTCAGTAGTTAGAGCAGTCGCCTCGCAAGCAAGAGGACCTGGGTTTGATTCCCGGACAGGGCGAAACATTGGGCAGGTTTCCTTCCTCCACATGCCTCTGTTCACTTAGCTGTAAGTAGGAACCCGGTTGTTCGTGGATTGGAGGATCGCTTTTCCAGGGATAATAATCCCTTAAATAATAAATTTAAATTAAAAAAATCACAATTTAGTCACTCAATCCATGACTGTTTGTGGGACACAAACTGCAATTGGCTGTCACGTTTCTCCCACAAAAGAGACAGTCAATTCACTGTACAGTACAGATAAAATGGGCTCTGTGCAATCGGCTGCCACTTTTCGACCATACAGCAGAGGCGTGGAGTAAGGAAATCTGCCGAATGTTTGGCTCTGCCCGGGAATTGAACCCAGGTCCTCTCGCTTGTGAGGCAAGTGCTCTGACCACTACACTAGGTATGGTAAATACATGCACAATTCTGGCTGTGTAAATATACAATGAAAGTTACCTGGGCTGATATTGTCCAGCACCTCTTTCCAGGCTGCGTACTGTAGAGGCCCTTTGAATACCCCCACAGGCAGATCCCCCTCAGATAATGACAGGTGAAAATCATCCTCACTGACCCTGAAATAAGAGACGTTCACATTATAAAGTGAAACTGCACATTGTGTTTGGTTTGTGTAGTAAATTCGGGGGATATTTTGTAAAGAACCATTTCATACCTTCTCTTCCGAGCCGCTTCCTCCTAATGAAATAAAACACAGACAGATCTGAGCTCACACTGAGACACCACATTTTAAACTCGCGACAGTAGGGCATATAATCCTACGGTGATAGATAAATAATCGTTGCATTTGATATAGCGATTTAACACGTCTTCGAGACGTCTCAAAGCGCTTCACAGAATATACTGTAAAGTGAATTGACTATATTTTGTGGGAGAAACGCGACAGCCAATTGCACACAGTAATCGTGGATTGTAACCCATTACCCACCAAGGACACATCCCAAAAACGGAGAGACACGCACTCACACTCAGTAACTCCAATAACTTGACATTTATATTGATATATTTCTATTAATATAATGTAAAAAAAATCATTCAAGATTAAATGAAACACAACTACAATCCAAAACAATTGTAAGTGTTAATATCAACAGAAACGTAAGCAAATATAAATATAAATAACTGTGACAAGAGCTTTAATCCCAGGATAACCACAGCTGAAGTGTTCCTGGATGTTGGCTTTGCAGAGTCGCTATCAGATTATACCAAATAATCATTAAAATCACAGGGCTGTTTAACAGTCAGACTTTTTCTGCTCTAGTTTGTGTGTAACTTTTACGGAACTAAATTATCATTTCATCTCTTTACCTGCAGAAAGGTGAGCGCATCTTTTTCCGTCTGTTTCTGTAACTCTGAGAGCTTTTGCTGAACAGAAGCTATTTTTCCCCGAATCTCTCGCAGATTTTTCTCCATTCGGTGTATTATCTCCTCCTCTCGCTGTCTGAGCTCTCGGATCACACACTGCTCTCTGTCAGTGAGGCTCTGGTGCATTTTGGCAAACTCAGCCGTGATGTGGTTCTCCAGACTGTCCGCCTGTTCCTGTAAAATGAATTGTCAGACATCACACTGCGCACAGTAAAGAGAGACACACGACTGAGAGCCCAGACATCAGCCCCGACACAACTTACCTTCACTTGTGACATCTTTAGTTTCTGTTTCCTTTCAGTTTCCACAGCAGTGGCCTTCCTCTGTGTGAGAGAGTCTAAAGAGGATTTCGCTTTATCCTGGAATGAAACGCAAACACAACTCAAGTTACATTACACAATGTTGGGAGGATACCTCAAACCAAGAATTCAAATCTCCTCTCGCGCTCTGAGCTCTCAAAATTCCAATCAAAGATCAATGGATTCCTGTAGAGTATTGGTGAGAGCACTTGCCTCGCAAGAGAGTGGACCCGGGCTCAATTCCTGGGTGGTGCGAAACCTTAGGTTAGTTTCCTTACTCCACACACCTCTGTACACCTAACAGTTTGTATGTACCCGGTGGTTTGTCGATGGCGGATCATTTTCCGGGGCGAATAAACTCTCCAAATTGAAAACAAACAATAATGATAATTTGGTCACTCAATCCACGACTGTTTGTGGGACGCTGCTGTCCGCAATCGGCTGCCACGTTTCGCCCGCAAAATATGCAGTCAATTCATTCTGCATTATATTCTGTGAAGCACTTTGAGACGTTTCGAAGACGTGATAAGGTGGAATATCAAATGAAAGGAGTATTATTATATTTATGTTTACCTTCACACAGCTATCGAAGGTACCCGACCTGGGGGTTGGGGGCAAAGATAACCAAAAGCGCAGACAAAGAATAAAGCCTTGAAGGGTTTGATAATTGGGGGGGAGTCAAGAGCAACAACAAGGGCAGAATGGCTGAAAAATCTTATCAGAAATGGTGCAGAAAAATCTTGTCTTATACAAACGGGAATTACATAATGTTTCTTTTCTTTACCTTATAGATCTGAACAGCCTCCTTTATGGGTTTGAAGCTGTGGTTTTTGTGTTCTTGCGCGTCTCTGCAAACCAGACACATCAGTTTCTTGTCTGTCTCACAGAACAGCTTCAGTTCCTCCTGATGCTCCTCACAGCGCGGTCTTCTTTCCGTCTCCACCGGGGCTGTGCTCAGCCGTCGAGCTGCGTCTGCCAGTTTCCGCAGGTTCCAGTTCTCGCTCATTCTACTGTTGGCAGAGACCGTTCTGCACTCAGGACAGGCTTTCCTCTTATTTTTCCAACTCAGCAAGGTGCAGGAGCGGCAGAAGTTATGGCCACAATCCAGGGTGACCGGCTTGGTAAAGAGATCCAGACAGACCGAGCACATTAAGTCCTCGCTCTGACTCTGGGGTCTGGAAGCCATGGTCACCTCACGGCCCCTCTCGTCGCACCTCTCAGTCTCAGGGTTTCCGTGCTGTGTGTGTGTGTGTGTGTGTGTCCTGCCCCCGGACACCGCTCCTTCACTGCTAATCACCTCTCGATCACTTCCACCTTTGGAACGGCCACGGTGAAGATCGTGTGGGAAGCAACGCGGAGATTGAGGAAACAGAGCAAAGTTTATTCGAAACACAGCCCCAAAGTGCTGAGGAGGATTCTTGGAGATAAGAAACACGGAAAATAACAACAATAATCCAAGCAGCGCTATTCGGAAAGAGAAGGGCGTTCCTCTCTCCCGATATCTGGGCCAGTAATCGAACAACCACAACTGTTGTGTGGGATATTGCAGCGTACAAATCGGCTCTCTTGTTCTCCCACAAAATACACAGTCACTACACTACACTACACCGTGAAATCCTGTGTCATCCATCCAACATGAAAGGTACTATTTCGGGTTAGGGTTCGGGTTATTTAAACTGTAAGCGTTGTTATTATAATAGGGTTTTTGTACAGATGGGGTGGGACATTTGACATTAATATTTGAAGGCACGGCGGCTGAAAATGTGGTGCTCCCTCCAGCACTGGGCAGGAGCGCCAGCCCGGACCGTGAGCCCGACCTGACACCTGGGTGCGGGGCTCCACCGTTGAGATCAGGTCTCTCTTGGTTTGTGTCCGGATTGCACCCGGTGTGTAAACTTTGCTCACAGTAAAGGTATTTCCTCCCGTTTCACTTCGCCTGGTGATAAAAGTCCACGGTACGAACCGATGAGCAGAGAGAGAGGAGACGCCCGCAACTGGTACGGCGGAGCTGGGTTTGATCCGGATCAAGTCATTCCAGTCACTGAACCGGGGATGTGGGTATCAGGAAGGTGTCGATTTCTCAACTCAGTTCCTGGTGTAACCCTGAGAGGGGAGACGCGTCCGAGCTGGAAAAGTTTCTTCAGGCAAAGTTAAGTGGTGTGTGTGTGTGTGTGTCCCTGTCCTCCCTCTCCCCGGGGAGAGAGAGAGAGGAGGCTCCAGGAGTGACAAACACGGTCCGAGAGGTCTCGGGAGCTGGAACCATTGGTTCAGAGGAATTCTCCCGGACGCCATACCACCCACCCCATCTCCCCCCAACCCCACACCCACCTGATTATCAGCGGGGCGGGGCGGGGCGGGGGGGGGGGGGCGAGGTGAAGTGGGATAAGCGAACTCTTCAGCTTTGAGCTTACACCTCGGGGGAGCGTTGTCCAGGAGCACACGGAATGCTACCCTTTCCTGAACTGTTGTCTGGGTCCCGAACGTTGGGGGGGGGTCCCTGTATCTGTCACCTGTGCTCTCGCCCCCAGCCAGAAGGGTTGTGGGTTCAAACCCCACGTCAGGAACTTGGAGCTCACAGTCCAGGCCTCTCCGAGCGCCTCAATTGTCAGTGCTGCCATAGGTTGGGTGAGATGTTAAACCGCGCTCCCGTCTGCGGATCGCTTTCCCGGAGAGGGGGGGGGGGGGGTAATAATTGCTTCAAAAAAAAAAAAAAAATCGGTCACTCAATCCACGGCTGTGCGTGGGTCGCCGCTGCGCACACTTGGCTTCCGCGTTTCGCCCACAAAATATAGTCAGTTCGCTCTACAGTATATTCTGCGAAGCACTTTGAGACATCTCAAAGACGTGATATTATTAGTATTATTATCCCACATAAAATTGGCCATTCACTTCGGAGTTAGAATCATACGGCACAGCAGGAGGCCATTCGGCCCATCGTGTCCGTGCCAGCTCCTTTAAAGAGCTTTCCAAATTAGTCCCACTCCCCCCCCGCACCCCGCGCTCTCCCAATAGCCCTGCAAACTTGTCCTCCCCAAATTTGTTTTGTTTGATTCTGTGGAGATTGGCTGCCACATTCACTAAAAATCCAGTCACTACATGTACGCAGCAACGTGCAGAGCTTTGGGATGTTACAAATCCCTGATTTTCCAGCCTCGTGGGATGTCCTCCTGTCATGAAAGGTGCTATGCAACTGTACTGTGTTGTTGTTACAGGCACTGTTCCTCATTCTTGTGCTTCCCATTTCTCAGTCCAGGATTATTGATGGCTCTTACAACGTGAATTGAAATGAACAGAGAATTGTTAATTCTATTTGAAAGCGTGGAGTCCTGTAGCTCAGTGGTTAGAGCACTCGCTTTGCAAGCGAGGGACCTGAGTTCAATTCCAGGCAGAGGGACAAACCTTGGGCAAGTTTCCTTACTCCACACACCTAATAATAATCCCTCCAAAACCCAAAACAATAATTAAATTGGTCATTTTCAATCTATGACTGTTTGTGGGACATTGCTGTGCGCCATTGGCTGCCGCGTTTGCCCACAAATATACAGTCAATTCACTTTACAGTGTGTTCTGTGAAGCGCTTTGGGACGTCCTCCCGACGTGAAAAGCGCTATATCAAATGCGAGGATTATTATTATTATTAAAGCCTGGATCATTGTACTGAGCTTTCAAATAAGCTCCTGGAATCACAGTCACAGCGAACTGATTTCACAAGAATTAACAGGACTTTGACAGACAAGTGGCCCGAATCCACCTCCACACTGAAACTGAAAGCAGTTTTGAATGAGGAAACTCTGAGGGTGAAATGGCTTCTCAACACCAGACTGACAGTCTGACCGAGGAGTTAATTTGTCCGGTTTGTCTGGATCTCTTTACTGATCCCGTTATCCTGGATTGTAGCCACAGCTTCTGCCGCTCCTGTATCACACGGTGCTGGGAAAAGCCGGGGCCGAGCTCCTGTCCTGTGTGTCAGGAGACTTTCCTGGAAAGGAACCTCAGGGTCAGTCGGGCCCTGGGGAATCTGTCAGAGAAAGCTCGGGAATTGAAGCTGACCCCGAACGTGACGGGAATTAAACGTCGCTGTGAGAAACACCAGAAACAACTGAGGCTGTTCTGTGAAACTGACAAGAAGTTGATCTGTTCCATCTGTAGAGATGCACAGGAACACAGAGATCACAGCTTCCTGCCCATTGACGAAGCTGCTGAAATCTACAAGGTAACAATAACCCCGACACGGGATTCATTCTCTTCCACTTTATATAAACACATTTCCTCTGTGTGTTTGTGTTTAATTCCAGGATAAAGTGAACTCCTCCTTAGCTTCTCTCACACAGAGGAAGGCCGCGGCTCTGGAAGCTGAAGGGAAACAGAAAGAAAAGATTTCACAAGTGAAGGTAAGTTGTGTCGGGGCTGATGTCTGGGCTCTCAGTCGTGTGTCTCTCTTTACTGTGCGCAGTGTGATGTCTGACGCTTCATTTTGCAGAAACAGGCGGACAATCTGCAGAACCACATCACGGCTCAGTTTGCCAAAATGCACCAGAGCCTCACTGACAGAGAGCAGCGTGTGATCCGAGAGCTCAGAGAGCGAGAGGAGGAGATTTTACACCGAATGGAGAAAAATCTGCGAGAGATTCAGGACAAATTAGCTTCTGTTCAGCAAAAGCTCTCAGAGTTACAGAAACAGATGGAAAAAGACGCGCTCACCTTTCTGCAGGTAAAGAGGTGAAATGATAATTTAGTTCAGTAAAAGTTACACACAGTCTGGAGCAGAAAGTCAAAACCTGACTGTGAAAGAGCCCAGTGATTTTATTATCTGGTAAACTCCGGTGTGTGTCTGTAACCAGGTCCCACTTTGCGTTCTGTCTGTAAACCCACACGAACACCACTTTACAGTTGCTACGTGAACTTTCTGCATTTTGGAGACAACATTGGGTGATAACATTCCTGTAATAATTACAGTAAACCGAGCTGTAGAATTCTCTAGTTTACAGTGTTGGGTCTCAGTGTGAGCTCAGATCTGTGTTTTGTTTCAATAGGAAGAAGAAGAAGCTCGGAATGGAAGGTATGAAATGTCTTTACCGAATATTCTTCTTTACCCCAGAATTTAACACACAAACCAAACACAATGTGTAGTTTCACTTTATAATGTGCACGTCTCTTATTCCAGGATCAGTGATGAGGCTCTTACACTGTCACTATCTGAGGGGGATCTGCCTGTGGGGATGTTTGAATGGCTTATACAGTACACAGTCTGGAGAGACACGAGACACAGCATCAGCCCAGGTACATGCTCCCATTCTCAGACTGAAGGTGTGTGAATATCTGACATTCACCTGGAACCTCCTGCTTACTCCTTACCGCTCTGCTCACAAATATCAAATGGCATTCTGTCTATCTGTGAGCAGGTCTCCCTCCTCGTCCTCCTTGACCTCTCTGCTGCCTTCAATACCGTTGACCACTTCATCCTCCTCCACCGCCTCTCCTCTCACCTCAACCTTCATGGTTCTGTCCTTCAATGGTTCAGATAATACCTCTCACACTGCCCTCCACTTAAATCTCCACGAACGGTTTCTCCTCGAGCCCCGGCACCGTTTCATGTGGCGTTCCTCCTCTGGTGTCCATGCTCCCCTCCTCTTGAATATTTATAAGCTCTCTTTTGGTGACTTTTGGTGACTTCATCTACAGGAATGGGTTCAACTGCCACATGTATGCAGAGGACACCCAACTCTTACCTCTTTGCCTCCACCATTGACTCCAGGACCACTGCTGTCCTGACAGAATGTCTGTCAGACATCAAGTCCTGGATGAGAACTAACTTTCAGTTGAATGTCAAGAAGATCGAGGCTCACTTGATTGGCTCCTGACAGTGCCACCACACCTCAGTTGCTGACAGTAAACCATCCAAGAAGGCCCCCTCCACCTTACTAAGCCAGTCCGGAACCTTGGTACCTTGTTCGACCGTCAACTATTCTTTCTACCCCACATCCAAGCCATGAACTGCTCTGCCTTTCCCCACCTCCACAAGATCGCCCGGCTCTGTCACTGGCTCACACCACAGGACATTGAAACCCTCGTACATGCCTTCATAACATCCAGGCTCGACTATGCAAACTCATTGCTTGTGGGCCTCCCCAACTCCAACTCCTCCCTCCATAGGCTGCAGATCATCCAGAACTCTAATCCAGCCTGTGTCCTCTTCCTCACCAGGCTCTGTGACCCTATCACCCCCATCCTCGCCCGACTCCACTGGTTTTCCATCACACAGAGGATACAGTTCAAGACCCTGGCCCTCACCGTCAAGGTCCTCACCTTCAAAGCCCTCCATGGCAATGCTCCCCCCTACCTCTGCGACCTCCTAACACACCAATCAACCTGCCCGCTCCCTCCGCTCAGTGGGCTCTGGCTGGCTTCACGTCCCCTACTTCGCCCACGCGGGTGGGCCTTCCGTCACTGTGCCCCCATCCTCTGGAACTCCATCCTGCAGTCCCTCCGCCTCACCCTCTCCCTTGCCTCCTTCAAGACCCATCTCAAGACCTTCCCCTTCGACCATGCCAGCACCCTCCTTCCCCCCCCCCCCCCACGGCTCTCCACCCTCCCCGATCCCCAGCTCAGGTCCAAAACATTGATTGTCCAGTGCCTTGGGACATCCTCCCGACGTGAAAGTCGCCATCCAAAGGCGAATACAGGACTCGTTATTCATATAGTACCGGGTGACCGACAGCAGATGGCACTAACATCAACAACAATTCCAGTCATTATCACCAGCGCCTTCTGGTGGCGGCGGTGCACGATCAGTGCTGTTTATCCGGTATATCCTGTTTATCCTCAGGGCTCTGTCCTCGGTCCCCTCAGGCTGCCGAAACCCTCACCCACACATTCATCGCCTCAAGGCTCGATTTGTGGAGTCCTGTAGCTCAGTGGTTAGAGCACTCGCTTTGCAAGTGAGAGACCTGAGTTCAATCCCAGGCAGAGGGCCAAACCTTGGGCAAGTTTCCTTACTCCACACAGAGCCTAATAATAATCCCTCCAAAAGCAAAAACAGTAATAAATTGGTCATTTTCAATCCACGACTGTTTGTGGGACATTGCTGTGCGCAATTGGCTGCCGCGTTCGCCCACAAATATACAATTCACTTTACAGTGTGTTCTGTGAAGCGCTTTGGGACGTCCTCCCGACGTGAAAAGCGCTATATCAAATGCAAGGATTATTATTATTATTATTATCTATGGCTTTGCCCCCTCCTACCTCTCTGACCTGCTGACTCCCTGCCAACCTGCCCACTCCTTACATTCATCGGGCTCCGGCCTGCTCCATGACTCCCACCCGACCCGCCCTACGATCGGTGGTGATGTAGGTGGCCCTACCATCAGCCGCTCTGCCCCCACACTCTGCCCCCACACTCCATTCCGCGGTCCCTTCGCCTCGCTTCCTTCCTTGCCTCCTTCAAGACCCTTCTCTTCGACCGTGCCTTTGGTCTCCCTCCCACCTCTCTGCCTTCCCTCACCTCTACAACCCCCCTCCCCCCATGCTTGGACCCCGACACCTGACTGTTCAGCGCTTTGGGACGTCCTCCCGACGTGAAAGGTACTCTATAAATGTAATTTTGTTGTATTGAGCAACTAACCCTCTGATGTGGATCTTTCACCAGCTCACACACAGCCCCTAGTGCCCCTCGCTCCTGCAGCCCACCCCCCCGCTCCAAACCCCCCCCACTCACGTTGTATTATTCTTCTCTCTCAGCTCCGGCCGCTCTGACTCTGGATCCTGACACAGCCCATCCCTCGCTCATCGTGTCTGAGGACCTGACCAGCGTGAGAGATGGAGACGAATGGCAGCCGGTCCCTGACACCCCGAAGAGGTTTAGTAAATCTCTCATCGTCCTGGGATCTGAGGGCTTCACATCAGGGAGACATTACTGGGAGGTGCAGGTGGGCAACAAGACTGCGTGGACTGTGGGAGTGACCAGAGAGTCTGTCAACAGGAAACAACCAATCAAGTGGTCAACAGAGGGTGGGGTCTGGGGGGTGGGGCTGGTGGGTGGGGGCTATTGTGCTATGACCTCCCCTCCCACCCGCCTGCCCCTGACAGTGGGACCCGGGAAAATCGGGGTGTACCTGGACTATGAGGGGGGACAGGTGTCATTTTACAACGCTGACAACATGTCTCATCTCCACACTTCCACCCAAACTTTCACTGAGAAACTTTATCCTTACCTGTGTCCCTGTGTTAATGACGACGGGAAAAACTCGGAGCCGCTGAGAATGTGCCAGTTATAACACATTGACAGTGATGTGGTTTTACCTCGCTTTCCGTGTGATTCACTGACTGTTGTTTAAGGGAATACAGTGGGGTGGGGGGGGATGAGGTGGGGGGGGTGAATTTCGGGAGAAGATCGCAAGCTCTGCCATGATTATGAGTCCAGAAGAGTATGAGAAAGCAGAAAGTGAACTGACTGTATGTTTTGCGGGTGAAACACGGCAGCCAATTGCATATACAGCATCCCACACAGTTGTGGATAAAGTGATCAAATTTTTTTTGGAAGGAATTATTACCCCCTCGGAACAGCCACCTGCCAATCTGTAGCTCGTGTCTCAGTGAAATACCTCGGGGACCAGCTCTCTGATCTATAGACTCTGAGCGTCAAGTTACTGTCAGTTTGTGTCTGGATCGTACCCAGTGTGTAAACTTTGCTCACAATAAAGTGTCTGATACAACTTCAATCCAGGAGATCTTTCCTCCGGTCCCCCACACCCGGACCCACACGAGCTGGGCTTACTCCGCCTTTGATCCAGATTAAAGTCGGCTCAAAACACAAAATACTGCAGATGCTGGAAATCTGGAATAATAATAATAATAATAATAATAATAATCCTTGCATTTGATAGAGCGCTTTTCACGTCGGGAGGACGTCCCAAAGCGCTTCACAGAACAAGAACAAGAACAGAAGTCGCTGGGAACACTCAGCGGGTCAGGCAGCATCTGCGGAGAAAGGAAAGTGAGTCAACATTTCGGGTCCGCGACCCTTCGTCAAAACTGGGGGCATGTTGGGAGGGAGAGGCCCTTAAGGGCTAACTAACAGAGAGGGGGGAGGCAGAGCAAGGAAGACAAAGGAGAAAATGGGGTAGAAGGCAGGAGATGATGGGTTAAAGAAGTGCTGATAATGCAGAATGGAGGGGGAAACTGCCATAAAATAGGCAGAGCAGAGAGAGAAAAGGTGTGCAGATAAGTGAGGTGCTGCTCCTCGAGCTCGCGCTGTGGCTCATTGGAACAGCGCAGGAAGGAGACCGTGGATGGAGAGGTCAGAGCGCGAGTGGGAGGGAGAGTGGCAAGAACCCGGAAGCTCAGGGCTGTGCTCACGGACAGAAGGGAGGTGATCGGCAAATACGTCGCCCAATCCGCGTTTGGTCTCCCCAGTGTAGAGGAGATCACATCATGAGCAGCGAATGCTGTAAACTACATTGGTGGGAGTACATGTAAATCACTGTCTCATTTGAACTCTTGGTTCGGGCCCCTGGACAATAGTAATGGGGGGAGGAGGTGAAAGGCACGAGGTATTGCGTGGGAAGGTGCCGGGGGAGGAGGATAACTGTTGGTGGTGATGGAGGAATGAACCAGGGAGTCACGGAGGGAATGGTGCCTTCGGAATGAGAGGGAAGGGGAGGGAAAGATATGCTTAGTGGTTGGATTAAGCTAGAGGTGCCGGAAATGGCGATGAATTATTGTTGGGATGTTGAGGCCGGTGGGATGGAAAGTGAGGACCAGGGAGGCCCTATCGCGGTTCTGGGAAGATGGGGAAGGAGTGAGGGCAGAGTTGCGGGAAATAGGGCGGACATGATCAAGAGCCCTGCCTACCACATGGATGGGAATCCTCGGTTGAGGAAAGAGGAAGACATTTCGGCTGCTCTGGTGTGAAAGGTGGGATCGTCAGAGCAGATGCGGAGGAGGCGGAGGACCTGGAAGAAAGGGAATGGAGTCCTTACAGGTGGCGGGGTGGGAGGAGGTGTAATCCAGGTAACTGAGGGAGTTGGTGGGCTTGTAAAAGGTATTGGTTGATAATCTATGCCACAAGATGGAAATGCTGAAGTCAAGGAAGGGAAAAACTGGGGATGGACCATGTGAAGGTTATGGATGGTTGGAAGGTGGAAGCGAAATTGGTGAATTTTTCCAGGTCACTGCGAGAGCAGGAAGTAGCCCCAACACAGTCGTCGATGTATAAACGTCAGCAGTAACCTCCCCAATGCACACTTGGCTCATTCCCTCCTTGGGCCCTTCTCGAATCTCAAAGCTTATTTACTTGTGTGCCTCTCACCCACCCCCACCCCCTCCCCTCCCACCCAAACCTGCTGGGCTGGACAATCCTCATCCCCTCTCTCCGCCCCATTATCTGCAGCTAAACCTTTAGCGCCGTCTTGTGAACTATCTCTCCCTAATACCCTCAGGCTCCCTCATCCCCTATCTGTTCCTCAGCGACCCGCTCATTCCCTTTACTTGACAGGCACCGACCGGGCTCCTTCACGTCCCCGTACTGTTCAAGATCATGTGGCACTGTTCGAAAAGAGAAAGGAGTTTCTCTCCTATTGCCTTAGCCAAGACCCAAATAGAATTGCTCATTCATTTCATTACTGTTTGTGGGGCGTGAGGCGTTTCACCTACAAAATATAGTACCACTCACTACACCTTATAGTGTATCCTGTGAAGCGCCTTGAGACGTCTCAACGATGTGATAAGGCACTATATATATATCAAATGTAAAGGTTATTATTATGTTATTCTGCGCAATTGTGCTCCAAGTTCACTCTCAAAACAGTCACTACAATTCACAGTAAATCCTGTGAAGTTTTTTTTGGGATGTCCTCCTGACGTGAAACTAAATGCAAAGATTATTGTTATTAGCAACTATTTTTCTCCAAGTATCTCACGCTCTTTCGCTCTAACTTGCTTCCTTCCTCTCAACCTATAGCTTACAATAGGTTTAAACACCTCAACCTCCCTGGGCTCTCCCTCAGACTCACCAAACCAGTGCGCAACCTCGGCATCCGGTTCGACCAACTGTCCTTCTTCCCCCACAACCGGTCCCTGACCAGGACTGTGCTCTTCCACCTCCGCCACATTGCCCATCTCCGACCATACCTTACCCCAAATGCACCCAATGCCCTCGTGCATGCACTTGTCATCTGCTTGGAGCACTCCTCACTGGTCTCCCCAGCTCCACCATTCACAAGATCCGGCTCATTCAAAACTCTGCCGTCCGCATACTGACCCAGAACAAACTCAGTGCCCAAATCTCACCCGTACTGGCCCAGGCTCCGCTGGCTGCCCATCACCGAACGGATCGACTTCAAGAGCCTCACACTTGTGTTCAAATCCATTCACTCCCTGGCACCTCCCTACATCTCCGACCTCCTCACTCCCCACTCCCACCGCCTGGCGCCTCCGCTCGACTGGCACCGGCCTCCTGCTCATCCCTCGCATCCTCTCGTCCCACCATCGGAGGTTGAGCTTTCAGCCACTACATCCCAGAACTCTGGGACACTTTTCCTCAATCCCTCTGCCTTGCCCCCTCTTTCACGTCCCGCCTGAAAACATTCCTTTTGACCTGTACCCTGCGTGCAAGTTGTTGTTGTTGTTGTTGTACATATCTCTTACCACAAGCCCAAAACTGCAGACAGTAAAAACATGAACGCTTACCTTTCTGACCAGCAGAAATAATAATAATCATTATCCTTGTATTGTATATGACACCCTATCAAGTCTTTCGAGACATCTCAAAGCACTGCACAGAATATGCTGCAATAATAATAATCCTTGCACTTGATAGAGCGCTTTTCGCGTCTTCTCGACGTCTCAAAGCGCTTCACAGAATATACCGTAAAGTGAGTTGACTGTATATTTGTGGGTGTAAAGTGAATTGACTGTGTATTTTGTGAAACCAGACTATGTGCTAAGTTGCAAGGCTGTTAGAATTGTTTCCCAGGCTCAGAGAATTCAGTCACTTGGCACACACACTCAATGGTACAGTATTTTGCAGTTCCTCTGTCCAACGTCTGCCTCAGAGAGACCTAATGCACATAAGTGGGACTTGCGGATATTTGGCTAGATGGAATTTCTTCCGCATGGATAAAGCTTATCATTACAAATACACGTTAGGAGCACCGCAGACTCCGATCGCATTGTGTACCTCAGATGACAGAGGTTCATCTGCTTTTTTCCTTTCTCTCGATATATCCGGCTCTGACAAAGCCCTCGAGTACATCACAGAGAGTCTGTAATGTCACCTTTTTAACGAAAGTAAAATACACTGTTCAACTTTTCCTATTGTGGGTTGCTGCCTCTCAAATTCAGAGGAAGTGTGTGTGTGTGGGTGTGGGTGTTGGGGGAGGGGTTAGTGGGCGATGGTGGGGGTGAAATGTACCAAGAAGATAAAATATTCTCTCTTCAGCCTGTGCCGAATATTCTCCAGATTTAGATGAGCAGGGTGTGGTCTCCACCAGAGATTTTGCCCTCCAAATACACAGAAAAGATTTCATCGGAAAGCTAAGGCAGGTTGAATCAGGAAGTGCTCAGAAATGTCTTCAAGAGGCCAGAAGCAGAAGTGGACGGAGGAGTTAAACTGTCCCATCTGTTTGGAGATCTTTACCGAGCCAGTTACCCTGAAGTGTGGCCACAACTTCTGCCGCTTCTGTATCACGCATAGCTGGAGCGAGCAGCTGAAAGGAACCTGTCCAGAATGTCGAGAGGTGAATTCAGGAAATCAGCTGAAACCAAATCGAACGCTAGTAAATCTGTCAAATGAAGCTCGGGAACTGAAATCACCGCAGAACAAAGAGATGCGTGACTGTGATAAACATTCGGAAGAACTGAAGCTGTTCTGTGAAACTGATAAGAAATTGATCTGCATCATGTGTCTTATTGATGCCGATGGACAGAGCCACAAATCCCACGACTTAATGCTGATAGAGAAAGCGGCTGAGATCTACAAGGTAACAAGGAGCGGACTTTATAATGTGACTACTTCTCTCTTGTTGTTGCAGTGAGGCGTTTTAAAAAAAGATTTTGTTTTCTTTTGTTTCATCGATATTCTGGTTGCAGGACAAACTAAAATCGTCCTTTGATCCGGTTATCAAAAGAAACGAGGCTGTTCTGCTCACTGAATCGGAGCAAAAAGAGAAGATTTCAGCGCTGAAAGTAAGTTGTGACAATTATCAGTTGCGTTTCCCTTATTTACCGGGTGATGTCTGGGCTCTGTCGTGTTCCTCTTTCTGTAAGTGCCCGTGGTGATGTCTGATACCTTGTTCTGCAGGAGCAGGTGAGCAGGCTGGCGAAGCATGTTACGGCTGAGTTTGGTAAGATGCACCAGAGCCTCTATGACAGAGAGCAGCGTGTAATCCGAGAGCTCAGACAGCGAGAGCAGGAGATTTTGCAACGAATGGAGAAAAATCTGGGAGAGATTCGGGGCAGTTTAGTTTCCCTTCAACAAAAATTCTCAGAGTTAAAGAAACAGATGGAAAAGGACGCATTCACCTTTCTGCGGGTAAAGAAGTTAACATTGCTCTAAGTTTCTGCAAGCAGACGCTTTAGTTCAGTAAACTACTCACAGTCTGCAGCAGAAAATCAAAGTCTGACTGTTAAATAGCTCAGTAAATACATTAACTAGTATAACCAGACCTTTGTAAGAAGATCTCACTTTATGTTCTGCCTATAACTCAGAACAGCACTTTGT